TAGGTTTGATACTCAGTTTTTCTTCCATGTCTGCTGTAGTGGTGGTTGCTGGACGGGGTTGGTTCGGTGAAGTAGTATGTTCTTTGTCGTGCTGTGCTTCGTAGAAAGCAGGCTTTATTCTATCGATAGCAATAGTCTCTTTCTTTCCACACTTGTTGATTATGAAGTGTTTGGTCGTTCTTTTAATTACTTGATATGGTCCTTCATAAGGTTGTTTCAATGGCTTTTTAACAGCATCAACTCGAACAAAGACAAATTTGCATGTTTCTAGATTTCTGTTGAGTTGTATTCGATTGTTATGTTCGCGAGGCGGTATGGCTTTGATTCGTTGCATGGTTTGCAGCAGTTGGCTAGCAAAACGACTTGGGTCCGTTGGTGTTAAAGTGTTTGGGTCCACTAGTTGACCTGGTAATGTAAGGGTTGTACCGTAAACTAGCTCAGCGGCTGTACAACCTATATCTTCCTTTATAGTTGAACGGATACCCAGGAGTACAAGTGGTAATGCGTCACTCCATTTTGTCGTATCATCTTGTGCCATCAGCGAGCTTTTCAATTGGCGGTGAAATCTTTCGACCAAGCCGTTAGCTGCTGGGTGGTAGGCTGTTGTTTTGATGTGGTTCACGCCCAGAAGTCTTGTGAATTCCTGAAATAAGATAGACTGAAACTGGGGACCACGGTCGGTAGTGACGATAGAAGGTACTCCGTAATTCGCTATCCAACGGTCAAGGAATACGCCGGCTACTGTTTCTGCAGAAGTATCAGCAATAGGGCATGCTATGGCCCATCTTGTGAACCTGTCCACCGCAGTGAGAATGTGCGTGAATGAATTAGATGGTGGCAATGGACCAACTAAGTCTAAATGAATATGTTGAAAACGTTTGTCGGGAATAGGGAATTCCCCGATCGGGCTGATAGTGTGTTTTTGGATTTTGCTGCGTTGGCACTGGAGGCAGTTACGTGTCCAACGTTTAACATCCGAATTGATTTTTGGCCAAACAAAGCGTTCAGTAACCAATTTGATTGTGGCTCTGATTCCTGGGTGAGAAAGGTCATGCAGTTGACGAAATACCTGTCGACGACATGCTAGTGGTACGAAAGGGCGATTGTTACCCGTTGAAACATCGCAAATGATAGATGTATTTGAGAAAGGGATGGGTACTGGTTTAAGGTTCAAGTTAGACTTCTCGTTGCAGATCTTCAAATCTACATCGTCCACTTGTAGTTTTGCTAAAGCTTCAAGACTGATGTTGTGGTTGTGTACCATCATGTTGATATCCTTTCTAGATAGTGCGTCAGCAACAATGTTGGAGGAGCCTTTGATGAACTGAATGTCCGTAGTGAATTGAGAAATGTAATCCAGTTGTCTCGCTTCCCGTGGAGAATGTTTGTCGTAGGTCGTATTGAAAGAATAGCAAAGTGGTTTATGATCAGTCATAATGGTGAAATCGCGTCCCTGAAGGAGGAAGTTGAAGTGTTTTACAGCTAAGTACATAGCCAGAAGTTCGCGTCCGAAGGTGCTATAACGTTCTTGTGCTGGCGATAATCTCTTGGAGAAAAAGGCAATGGGGGTAATCTTGTTGTTTACCCGCTGTTGTAATACTGCCCCGACGGCTTTTTGTGAAGCATCCGTGCACAGGATCAACAGTGTTGTGGGGTCAGTATTTAGGTGTTGGAGCATGGTAGCATTAGCAATCATGGATTTAGCTTTTTCAAATGCTACTTTGGCATCGGAAGGTAACTTGAATATTTGGTTCTTTTCTTTCTTGGTACTTGATTTATCGTTTTTCAGTAAATCTGTCAATGGCTGTAGTACGTCGGCACAATTTGGTAGAAATCGTCGATAAAAATTACATGTTCCAAGAAAACGGCGTAGTGATTTTACTGAGGTTGGTTCTGGATAGCTGGAGATGGCTTTGACTTTCTCTTCAAGCGGTTTAATTCCTTGGGAATCAATGTGGTGTCCCAGGAATTCCAGAGATGAGGCGCCAAATATACACTTCGAAGGGTTGATTACAACACCATAACTTTTGAAACGTTCAAAAAGCGTGTGTAGGTGTTGAACATGTTCGTCAATGGAAGAACTAGCGATTAAAACATCGTCGATATAGACAAATACGAAATCCAGACCTCTAGTTACTTCGTCCATAAATCTCTGGAAGGTTTGAGCGGCGTTTTTTAGTCCGAAAGGCATCCTCAAGAATTCAAACAAGCCAAAAGGTGTGATTACAGCTGTTTTCTCGATATCCTCAGGTGCCATCGGTATTTGATGGTATGCTCGGACTAGATCTAACTTTGAAAAAATCTGTTTTCCATGTAGATTTAAAGAAAAATCATGCAGGTGAGGGATCGGATACCGGTCTGGGATAGTCTGGTTATTCAATCGGCGATAATCTCCACATGGGCGCCAGTCTTGATCTTTCTTGGGAACCATATGCAGCGGCGAGGCCCAAGGACTGTTAGATTGTCTGATTATCCCAAGTTGCATCATATGTTCGAATTCTCTCTTAGCGAACTGCAACTTGTTTGGATGGAGTCTTCTCGCCCTGGCGCGAATAGGTGGTCCTGTAGTAGTAATACTGTGTTGGACATGATGTGTGGAGCATTCGTTTTGGTAATCAGCTCTGGTTATACTTTCATACTTCGACAGGATATCGGTGAAAATTTTGTTTTCAGGTCTTAACATTCGGACTCCATGAATTTCGTAACTGGAGATAGTTGTGCCACTGACCTGTAAGCTTGTGTTTTTGTCGATTAGTTTCTTTTTTGCCATATCTACAAGTAGGTTGTAAGCACCGAGAAAATCGGCCCCGATAATGGGTTGTTTGATTTCAGCTACGATGAAAACCCATGTGAAACGTCTCCGGAGACCGAGATCTAAAATAAGTGATTGTTCGCCATAAGTTTTAATGACTGTGTTATTGGCTGCGACTAGAGACAATTTAGTACTCTGAGGGTGCCGTCGTTGAGAGAGGTGTAATGGGATAATGCTGATTTCGGCTCCTGTATCGACCAAAAAATCTGAGCCCGAAATTCGATCCCTGACATGAAATAGACGGCTCGGGTAGTGGCCAGAAACAGGCGCCGCCATCACTGTCTGGCCGGGTCGTTTCCCTGATTTTCTGTGTCAGACGCAGAAAATGTGCACGGTCGTGTACAACGCCGTGCTTTGGTGCCGTATTTTTGGTGGTACCAACAAACATCAGATGTTCGCTTCGGTGACCGAGACCGTTGTCTAGAAAAAGATCTTCGTCTGGAGGGGGATCTCGATTGTCTAGCTTGGATGGTTGCTATGGTCGATTGCAGTGACGCCAGCTGGCTCGTTAATTGTGTTAACTGCTTTTGAAAGGAGGCTAAACAGCTAATATCTGTTGGTCCAGGTGGTTGCAATGAGTTCACACAGTGATTGTCGTGGTATACTTCCATCATTTTATCTGCCATGTCGGCTAAGTCATCAAGTGCGACGGATTTCCCTGAAACACTGAGAATTTGTCGAACGCTGTGTGGTAATCTTTGAAACCACATTTGCTTTAGGAGGGCTTCGTCTAGCTTGTATGGACCGGCGAGTTGTTTCATGTGGCGGAGAAGTTGCGAGGGTCTTTTATCACCCAAGTCACAAGATGTTAACAACTGTTGTAGCCTTTTCTCATCTGAGACCGTGGTGCGTTGAATAACTGCTGCTTTTATCTTATCATATGGTTCAGATTCTGGCACGTGATCGATTAAATCACCAACTTCAGCGGCAATCTCGATAGGAAGTGCGCCGACTACGTATGCATACTTTGATGCCTGGGATCTTATGCCTCTAGCCATGAATAAAGCTTCAATTTGAGCAAACCAGACTCTGGGATTATTAGCTCCATAAGTTGGGAGTCTGAATTCTGAGATAGAATTAACTGAACTAAAATTATTTTCGGGAGAGTTCGACAATGAGACAAAAGTTGTTACTGGAGGCGAATCCATATCAATGAGTTTAGTGGGAGAGGACATTACGAGAAAAAAATAAACCAGTAAATTGTATGAAATGAAAAACAAAATAACCGTTAGGATAAACACGAGGCTCACCAAATAATTGTGGTGGACCAGACAAATATGAACGCAAAAAGTATAAACAAAGTTACTAAAGATAAATAGTAATATTAATATATATACAGTTAACTGTTACAAATACAATAAAAATTAGGGACGTTACTTAAATTGCCCAAACGTTGCGTGTTCTGATTAGGTCCAGTAATGTAAATCCACAATTATAAATGCTTGATGACTCTGAGCAGGTTGGCGAACTCTCTAGCGATATAGTCCAACGTAGGATGTGATATATTCCGATTACAGTCTATAAATGTAGATAGTATTTGATTTAGACTTCCGTTAACTCAATTACAAATGGAAATAGAACGAGGAATGCGAGAGTAGTAATGTATTTGTTAGTCGGCAAGGATATACCACGCTATGTAGTAGCTCAACGGAAAGTGTGTTCAAGGTCAATGACTTAAACAACAGGTACAATCATTTAATGATAAATGTACATGCGGTGGGAAATTGACAAAATAAATACAAATAATATTAAAAACTATTTACAAAATAAGCTTGTCAGGTCTATCTCCACAAGTCCCTATTCATTTAGGCTTTCAAGACATGAAATAATAACTATACTTATTTTATTTAACCCGGATGATTTTTGTACTATCCCATACCTCAGGAGAAAAATGACTTGTTATTTCTGCCCAGTGAATTATGAAGTCGAACACAGTGCAGTACTTCATATTTCCGTATAACAGAACCATAAGTAATGGAGTTTCAGTTGACTAAGAATAATCCATTTCTTACCTTATACAAGATAAAAACAGAAGTTAAGGGTTTATTTGAAAATATTTTATGATTTGTACATTGTATTTTGAGTGCATTTTTCCAGACTACGACTAGTTATTGTTGACTTTGGCGGGCTATCAATGTTATCTCCTTGGGTCAGTGGTGTTTTGAGCGAATTATCACAGAAATTGGGCATGATAGCTGACATTTGGAATGCCATGGGTTTAGAAGGAGAAAATTTGCGACTGCGAATTCATTCTCTGTCTTCTCATTTGTTCTTAATGTTGGATGAAATGTATAGTGAAGAAATCTTAGCGAAGCAGTCTATCATTGACTCAATCAAAGAATTAAAGGTTCATTCTGGTTTTATCAATCTTCATTATATTGCACAGGTAAAGATTAAAGAACTCGAGTCAGAGCTTGGGTTAACCAACAATATTTCTGAAACATCATCGCTTGTAATGACTGAAAAACTGTTTTACGATCATTTTAAAGCACTCACTGAAAAGTCCTCTTCAATTCTTCAGACATACAATTTGCTTAAAGAAGAGGAGAAAGATTTGTGCGCGCGGCTTGATGAACCTTCTGTTCCTGAGACATTCATACACGTCCCAAATACTGAACAAATTAGAATCTTAAAAGAAAACATTGATCATCTAACGCTTGAAAAAGTAACTAATGTTTGTGTGATGTAATTCATCAGCGTTCCCGTTCTCTTCGTTTGTCTAGACTAATTCAAGAAATTAAAAACTTAAGAGATCTCCTGCAACAGAAGACTATCGATGACGAGGAAATAATCACCCTAATCACTGCTCCTAATCCTATGGAGAATTTATCATTATCAAAAAATTTTCTTGACCACGTTACTAAATTAAGAAACAGTTTAGCACAGGAGTTTGTCAAGTTAGATGATGATTGTCAAAGAATCATTAAAGAAATCATGCATATAGCAGGTCGCCTTAATATTGATAATGGCGTGAATATTCAGCAACCGGTATCTGCTCGCTTTTTACAGCATGTGAGTTTTACTTATGTCTTCTCGATTATGACCATATCGTTGTTAATCGAATTGCTTGTTGAGTATTTATCTTCAGACTCCGACGGAAAGGGTAAATAGTATTTATTTATTTATTTATTTGAACACATGAATATTGGTACAAGAGAGCGCCAATATATATGCGCCACACTCCATAGGCATAAAGAGTTCATCAATTTGTGTGTGGGCTGTGATACTGCCCGGGTGCCCAAACCGAAGCAGGTGGTTATCTTAGGGGGCCACTCCCCGAGCCTTTGACCTAAAGGTCTAACCCACAAGGCAGTGGAGCATCGTAAGGAGATGCAGTCCCATGGTAGCCGGTGACCAACGATTGGTTCATACGCCATTTGTTCCCGCAGGATACTGGAGCCCATGTGCACCATTGATTTGGAATCCGGTTAAAGCGCCGGACATTCGCTTTTCGTCCTCTCATTTTCGTAAACAACACCCCCGCCACGAGAAGGCAATGAGTAGGACTTCCCTGGCAGAGGCTGTATACGCGTGGCCGTGTGAGATTATTTCGAGAGGGAGAGCGGACTCTCCCCACTCTCGGCCGTACCAGGGCATTCAGGGGGGCAAGGGTAAATAGTACCAAGCTCAATTACATTTGGTATACAATGTGTGACGAGACTTGATAATTTTCATCATAGTAACTCAGCTGTTTTGTTTGCATTCACAATGTTCACCTGAATAAGTCCCCCCTAAAGAGATTCTCGCGTTGTACGTTATCGATGCCAGTTAATGTGTTCGTCTCCATTCAGTGTCTTGGTATCCACAATTAGATTTATGTTTGTGAAACATATATATTAATGTCAATTATTACTTCAAAGTTAAGTGTTTCGGTCGCTATCAGACACCAAGTTGGTTGCTTTTCACTGTCATCCGACAGAAATACATTATGAATGCTAATGTTAAATTATCTTTACGAAGGATTGTTAAATAGCCGACAGTTTTATGTGGCCCCGTCTAGGAAGACCACCTGTGGTTTGGGAGCCCGGGTAGTAAACTAGCCGTCACACAAATCGAATGATTTATGCGGCGCATGTCTATTTGGTGCCCTCTTGTACCAATATTTATGTTTAAACAAATAAAATACTAGTTTGCTGTGAAGACGATGACAAAATGCAGAGTCTTTTTACCACTCTAAGCAACAATGCAAGCATGTTCGGGATGGGATTCTCCCCCTCGAAATGCAAAATGTTACTTCAGGATTGGGTTGCTTCGATACCCGAACTAATGATAGGAGGTGGAGTAGTTGAGCGTGTCGGTCGCTTCACTTATCTTGGAAGTCTCATCAGCCCTTGTGGTCTGGCGTGTGATGAAGTCTCAGCACGGATACAGAAGGCTCGACTAGCTTTCGCCAACTTGCATCATTTTTGGCGTAGGCGAGATATCCGTCTATCAATCAAAGGACGTGTTTACTGTGCAGCAGTTCGTTCCGTCCCACTTTATGGCAGTGAAACATGGCCAGTAAGAGTAGAGGATATTCGTAGGTTACTAGTATTTGATCATAGGTGTCTTCGAAATATTGCTCGTATATTCTGGGACCATCGAGTAAGTAATGCAGTTGTTAGGAAACGGATACTAGTTAAGGATGGCAAATCAATTGATGAAGTAGTGAAACTTCATCAGTTGAGATGGCTGGGACACGTGTTACGTATGCCCAACGACCGACTGCCTCGACGTGCGATGTTCAGTGGTATAGGAGTAGGTTGGGAGAAAGCTAGGTGCGGCCAGACCAAAACATGGCACAAATCCATGAAGTCACTGACAAGTGGACTGAGTCATGTTGGTAGGTGTAGACTACCTGGTTGGGGACCGCGAGATGATAGCAACCGATGGTTAGAGACCCTGGATGACATGGCTCAAAATCGTTTGCAATGGCGCAGGTGCATCCACTCTTTGTGTTCTCTCAAATTTTGATCTCCTTATTTCTCCTTGTCTCTTTTTTCTCTTCCCAAATTTATTTCACTGGATTATACTCTTTAAATAACATCTCCAAACCATAATTTTCCTGATTACTGCTTATACTCTTACTACCTTTACCACTACGGGATTTGAATCGACAACTGCATTTCTGTGCTAATGTGGTATGGCAACTCGAACTGATGTACGTACGTACGAAGTTCTACATTGTTACTGACTGACTAAGTTTGCTGTGATGGAATCCTTTAGACGTATTTTGGACATGGTTAACCCTAGTTGTATTTAGGTTTTCTAGCCTGTTCCTTGCCTACCATTTATACAGATGTACCACTTTTCATGTCCTGCTTTTTTGGAGCGCTGTGGAATTGTGATGTGAACGACTGTTTACTTCTGTTTAGTGTCTGATTAAAAACCTCGAGAACTAATCTGATCAAGGAGCCTACTATGTTGAACTGTATTAAAGAGCATTAGTCACTAGTTCGACCGTATTATCGACTTTTGGATCTATTTAAATGTTTTGCCTTTAACCGTTAGACGTGAATGTCTATAAAGTTTGAGGTCTATGCTATTAGGCCGTTTAAGGTTTACCTAATGGTTGATTAGAGTATGTTCCAATGTTGGTGGCGTGCAATTCTGCAAAGGATTGGTGTAAAATTATTATTAGTTATTTATTCGAACACAAATATTGGTACAAGGGGGCACCAGATATATAAGCGCCACACATAACAATGAGAATAGGAAGAGACAAAAGAAGGTAAGGTGAGTATAAGAAAAAAAAGAAAAGAACAGATTAGCGTAGGGAAGTGTAATAGTAATAATAATAATGGGGGGAACGGAAAGGTACAACGAGAAGAATTCTTTCAGTTAAGGAATATACAACCACTTTTTATGAAGAAAGTAAAAAAAGGTTACAACAAGATCGCCACTAGCTTCTATTCTGATCCGTATCTGGTAACGTCTCTAGACACTGTGTTGCACCATCTCCCGGACCCCAGCCAGGGAGTCGTGAATTATCAACAGAATCCAGCCCTTTGTAGCTTTCTTTCATACCACGACACCACGTCATACACTGACCACCTCCGCTCTTTCCAGCCAGTCCCAGCGTCGGCAAATAATGCACGACGAGGAATTCTCTGGGACGACGTTCGTAGAACATGTCCAAGCCACCGAAGTCGATGTTTCGAGATGGTGACACCAATTGGATTATCATCTCTGCGCCGAAATCACGATGCCGAACCTCTGCATTACTAACATGGTGTCGCCACTGGATACCAGCAATCCTTCGGAGACAACGATGATCAAACACAGAATCGTCTAACGTCCTCAACTCGGAGAGGCCAGGTTTCACAAGCACAGAGCAAAACTGCTCTCACCGACGCGTCGTAGATCCGACCTTTTACAGCCAGACTGACATCACGAAAGCACCAAAGGAGGCCCAGATTGGCATAAGCCGCTCTGGCTTTCACCATACGTGCATTGATCTCATCACTCACGCCACCACCAGCGCTTATGCAGCTACCTAGATACACGAACTTCTCGACTACTTCTGTCTGCTCACCATCCAGAGTGAGTACAGGATTAGAATCCTGCCAGTCTTGTAGAAGTACTTTGTACTTCGAAGGTGTGAAGCACATACCGTACCTATGGACATTGATTGTCAACTGATTAAGTGCGGATTGCATGGCTTGGGTATCATCGTACACCATGACAATATCATCCGCATACCCAAGGTCGAGAAGTCTTTCTCCAGGCAACAGATCCACACCACCATTACTTACATTCATCAGAGCTGTTTCCAGAATGTCATCGATGGCAAAGTTGAAGAGGAATGGTGAGGTTGGGCAACCCTGCCTAACCCCACTGCTCGAATGAAACAATGGAGAGAGGTGGTTGTATGCCCTCACTCTACCTGAGGTGTTTGTATATGGGGCCTTTAGGATGTTGATAAACTTCTCAGGCACACCCTTCTTCAATAGACAATCCCAGAGAACAGTCCTGTCCAACGAATCAAAGGCATCCCTGATGTGAAGAAACACTACGATTGTTGGCCTTTGATAAGTATGGCGGTGTTCTAACATTTGGCGGAGGGTGAAGATATCAATACATGCTCGACTAGAACGAAACCCAGCCTGCTCCTCACGAGTCAATCTTTCTCGGGTTTTGAACAACCTACGAAGTATGACGGAAGCCAATAGCTTGGACGCAATCGGAAGTAAACTTATCCCCCGATAGTTGTTACAAGAACGACGTGAACCCTTTTTAAAGATAGGGACAACTATCGACTCATTCCATGACGTTGGTACACTCTCTAGTTCCCAAACCTTGGTAAACAACGTCGTCAATTCCTTAGTCAAAAAGTCACCACCATCTTTAAAAAGAGCCGGAGGTAAGTCATCTGGGCCAGGTGATTTGTAACGCTTCAAGAGTTGGAGTTCCTTGCGGACTTCCTCCTCATTTGGTGGACCAGTCGTCACTGGCCATGGAGAACAGGACAGTCTGATCGATGCTGCCGGAGCAACAGGCCAGTTGAACTGCCCTTCAAAGAATTGTTGTAAATGCCTAAGATTTTATGCCTGCATGAAGTTAATCGGACTGTTCTTGACCAATATCAGCGCTGTTCTAAATTATTGTATCATAGGTTAGAATATACCGTGCCTTTACTGTTTTAGTTTAAATACTATGCTTCATTACGCAATCTACCATCGAAAACTCTATTAAAAACATGGCTCTTTTTAGATCGTGTTCCGTAGCTTTTTAAATTTACTGTTGATAAGAAGTATATCTAACTTTTTTTTGAATGTTTCTCTTCTTATAGCTGAAAGAAGAACTCAATCGTCTGAAAAAATTGCAACTAAGAAGTTTAGCGTCTATTATTTCAAAGTGTCAAGCTGAGTTAGTCGTATGGTGGGAAAATTGCCTTGTTGGTCGAGATGTTCGTCAATCATATTTAATTTCTGAAGGTCAAGAGTTAAACGAGTCACTACTTATATCGCTTGAATCTGAAGTAAATTTACTAAGTATTAAAATAAAAACTTTTAGATAACAAAATGGAAATCATTTTACTTGGAAAATGAACCACTCTTCAAGGCAATCGAAACGTGGCAGTGCATATTATCGCGTCTTCGAATGTCCGAGGTAAATACTTAGTGTATTTTTAGTTTGTAATTTTCCCTGTAACATTTAGACTCGTAATTTATATCTTTCTGTTCAGTTAGTATTTTGCTGGATAATTGACAGTAATATTCTCACAACTTAGCTTGTAATTCTGGTAACAATCTTTATATATTTATGTTCGGCTATTGTCCATTTCTACGCGCCGTAATGTTTAAACGCAGGTGTTTATTGAATTTCATTTTCCTTACTCGTAGGTATTTTATGTTCGTTATTAGTACGTTGCAACGCAAATTACTTAGCACATTTTCACAAAGGTATTAATTTAAAGCGTGTATCTCACTCTAACTCAAGTTAGGATCTAAGAGGGTTCTCTCTGTAATATGGACAAGATAACGGTTTAAGTCAGTGACATAGTAAATATGAATGGAATAGCTAATAGCTAATCCTCACTCTGTGAGTTACACTGATTAGTGTAGACCAAATGTATCAATAAAAAAGGTGATATTGATCTATCTACATATATCGTTAGTCAATACAGTTTTAATGGACGTTCTTACCAGTTTGACTTAACGTTATTAACTAGTGCTTGTTAAGTTGAATTATTTGTCTTATTGACGGTATGTTCACCTTTTCATGGGTAGTTGAACTTGTATGAGTTAATACGTGTGAAAATCTTTATAAATGTAAGTCATACGAAGACTGAACGTTTGAAAACCAATATCTTCGTAGTATAGTTTTTCGGAATATCTATTCGAATGAGGACTTTACTTGGTTACACAATAAAAGAATTGTTACCAGATATTTGTGTAGGATACAAATTTTAAGTGTAAGGATTAACAATGCTATCCGTGTGCTTCAATAAAAGACTGAGCGAGGTTCAAAGCCGCGATTTTGTGGTTTAAAGTCGGACGCTTTAATCACTAAGCCACCTCTCCACGTTTATTTACATTTTCATATAGGAAAAGTCGATAGAAGAGCCCCATATTCAGTAACTAATGCTAAATACCACTATGATAAGAATCGACGAAAAAATGCTTTAGACTAAATTTGATTTTTTTCAGAATAGGGATCTTTAGCGGGTTGGTTATATGTATAATCACTTTCACGTAAGATGTTGTTTGAAGCTAAATAAAGTCGTGTACCTGCCGGGTTTCAATATAAAGCGAAATGATAAAGTTAATCACATCAGTCATCGTCAACATATGGGTTTGCGTGAACGTGTCACAATATGGATCAAACAAGGTTAATTGTGAATTTTGTCGTTGAGTCAACGAGAATATGATTCGGGTTTAAGGCTTGGGTTAACAGTGCTACAATCTGATTTTCGAAACATTAGTTATCCTATGGTTCCATTTCCAATTGTAATTTGAATCAATATATATTTGTGTTAAGTATTGCGTTGTCCACTTCTGTTCAACTTACTTTATTAAGATGTTCAGTTTTCATTCACTCATTGTCTTCATCAACATTTGGTATCCGCTCAGTATTGTTGATTTTTACTCTACAAAATCGATCATGAGCATCGTAGCTGTACTAACGGATTTACTGTCGTTGAATTTAAAGATTTTCGAAATTCAAAATTTTGTAAAGCCACCAATATTCGAGATTATCTCTGTTTGGTCTAGTCCCTGGACTGATAGTACTCGTTAAGTTGCTACTTTTAGACTTATCATTCTCCAGTCGACCTGCCTGACGTGACAAGACCTTGAGAAATAACTATTTTAACATGGCTCAGACCAGAAATTAGTGACTTCAAGCACTGATGCCACGTTTTGGTTTGGCCGCCCCTAACATCCAACCATTCCCAACACTAGTCAGCATTGCACGACGTGGTAATCGGTGTTCAGGCATACGCAACATGTGGCCCAACCATCTCAGTCGATGAAGATTCACAACTTCCTCAACTGACTTACCATCATTCCCTAATACCCTGCATCTAACCTCACTATTACCTACCCGGTTATCCCAGCAGTATTTCTAAGGCATCTCTGGACAAATACTAGCTTACGAGTATCTTCTACTCTTAATGGCTATGTTTCGCAGCCGTAAAGTAGGACAGAACGGACTGCCGCGCAGTATACTCGTCCTTTTATTGATAGACGGATATCTCTCCTTCGCCACAGGTGACGTAAGTTGGCAAAAGCCAAACGAGTTTTTTGAATCCGTTTAGGGATTTCGTCAGACACTAACCCATTAGGGCTGATCGGACTTCCAAGATAAGTGAAGTTGTCAACTCGTTCGACTACTTCACTCCCTATGCTTAGTTCAGGTTGACTCAGACCAGTCCTGAAGCAGCAGCTTGCATTTAGAGGGAGAGAAGCGCATTCCAAACATTCTGGCATTGTTGCTCAGTGCTACCAAAAGACTGCACTTTATCAGCGTCTTCACCAAACAGGACTATGTCATCTGCGTATTCTAAGTCGATAAGTGGACCTCCTGGAAGAAGATCAATGCCCGAAAATTCAGTAGACGAGAATGTTATTTCCATCAATAGGTCTATGAAAAAGTTAAACAAAAATGTAGAAAGTGGACATCATTGACGGACATCACTTGAGGTTGCAAAAACATGACAGTTCGCCATAAGCTCTGACTCGACTAGTAGTGTTCGAGTAAAAATCCTTCACAAGGTTTATGTACTTTTGAGGTACGCCTTTCGATGACAGACACTGCCACAGAATCTCGCGGTTTACAGAGTCAAATGCTGCCTTTAAGTGAAGACCAGGATTCTTCAACTAACTCTGTCGTGGTCAATCCTTTCCGGTTGTTTACAATTGCTGTCAAATCTTTTGACGTCTACCTCCAATTCCTGATGCAGTGTGTTTCTTTTTCTTCCTCTTTTCCTATTTCCTTCAGGATTCTGATTTAGGGTTGCCTCATGATACAGTTCGGTTGTTTCCTCAGTATATGTCCTACCCACCTCTCGCATCTTCTAATTTCCTTTTCAGCTGGGGGCTAATTTGTTTGTTATTTTGGGTTTTTGCTGATAGTATCTGGTCGACGGATATTGAGTATCTTGCGTAAACAACATCCTGTACCTTTTTAATAATGGTTGTAGTAGTTTTCCACATTTCAGCTCCGTATAATAGAATTGTCTTGACGTTTGTATTAAAGATTCTGACTCTGATGTTGGACGACAGTTGCATTTTGGTAGAGTTTCGTTTTTGAGGAAGATGGTGTGGTCGTTGAGCTTTGATTATATTATCAACACGAACTTCAGGTAGAAGTGAATTATGCGGATTTCGTCACATATGACTGTCAGCTTGTCTTGTCGACATATATTTTATTGGTTATTGTTGTTCTTTAACCTGTCGTTTTCGGCCTGTTTATTTTGGTCGTATCTCCCTTTTAACTGATTTTCTGTCCTATATTCGTCTATGATTTCCCTAATTGGTTTATAGATTGGTTCAATTTCGGTGTGTTCGTTGATTGCTGATTGACTTGAGTGTCAAGCCTCTAAAAATTGCCTGCTGTTCTTAGTATTAGTTCAAGACAGGATTTCAACATTTGTCTAGTCGAATGTGTGTCCACAGTTGTTCACATGAATTGATATAAGCAAAGATATATCATGGCGTTTTACCGCTAATTGATGTCCATGCAGGCAAAGATAAAGGAGTCGTCCACCTTGTCTGGCACGGTATTTTTCACATTTGGATAGTTGATTTTGTTGATGATCGGTTTCTCTTTTGTCATTTCGTCTTTTGGTTTGCCATAAGGTTAATAGAAGTGATTTTGCTGGTTCATGTACTATTCCTATTCCAAAAGGCTTTAATAATCTCGTATTTTTCTGATATTTTTTATACATATGGTAGGATGACCCTGTTGTTGGTTTCTGTATTCGATTTCTTCTTTACTGACGAGTTGGGTTGAAATGTTTTAGTGAACTTGAGTGGGTAGCTGTTCATTTGAAGGGTAGCCATTAGATATTTTCTCCATTTTTCCGCGCTACAAGTATGCTGCAGTGTATTCTCGCCTTCGTGCATAAAGTTTGTACGCAGTTGATTTTGTGAGATCCTTTTTCGTTATTACTTTAGTTAATTTGTGTTGGTCGGCTAACGATGTACTTGCGTCTCCAGGTTTCATGTGTCGGTCCTGGTGATCAATACATCCAAGAATGATAGTTTGTTGTTCGACTCCTTTTTCATCGTGAATTTTATGTCATCGAAGATGTTGTTGATCAGTTTGTGGTTGTTTCCTAGCTCGTCCTCTTTAGTGATGACGAAACTGTTGTTCACATAAAAAGTTTACAATTTTGAAATGATCAGCGGTAAAATCGATACTCCCAGTCTCTGCATCACTGCTTCTGCAATAAGTTTTGATATTGGTAATCTCATCGGTTTCCCTTCCGTTTGTTTGTATATATTATTGTTGAACTGAATATATGTTGTTAAGCATGAATCGATGAGTTTTAGAGGACTTTGACTTAGAAGCTTTGTGTACTTTGGGAGGTTTGTGTCGTTGGAGAAGACCACAAATAGGATTTTATTTTGCTAAACTTGGTTTTATTGAGATCCTACGTTGTAGATGACTGACTGACTCACCAGACACCATGGTTTGTCGATAACTCTTGATTCCGATCAATTCTTTGTATATGGGCTTCTAATAGAAGCCATTTAAGGAATTACCAGGTATTTTTCGCATACTTGTTTGTCCAAAACAGTTTGTGTATTTCCCCAGTTTTCGAGAAAGAGTTAAGCGACTTTACATTCCCAGTCTTATTGCTTTATTGGTTTAGTTTTATAGTTCACGCAGGATGTTTCAACAATCATCGTACCTTAAGCTCCAGACAACTAGTCAGTTATCGTAACTCTTAAATATCTTAATATTTTCAAATACTAATAACTGTTCTTTTTTTAAAGCAAAAAATGAAAGATCCTTCCGTTTTAAAAAACCGAGGTGGGATTTTGTTGGTTATTGATAAAGAAATTAAACAATTAAAGCGTGATCTCAGTCGTCAGTATTCTATCTTAAAAGAAATTTCTATGAATTACCCAAATGTAACAGTTCATGGATTATCAATTCTTGATTACTTGGATTTCTCCGAACATCAATGTAGAATAGAAAAAGAAAATCAGTTAGTTAATCTCAATACTTTACCCATTTGTCACTTTTTCTCTTTGTGTATACTAACTTGTTAAATGATCTGTTGTACCAACTTTCATGCCGTATTTTCCCGTTTCTGGTTATAGGAGTTTCAATTACATTTTGCCCTAGCTTTTGTTATACTATATTATCGTAAAAACTAACACAGTGTTAGGATGGAAAATAGCACAGTGTTGTCTCAGCCAAGTATGATAACAACAATCTAAACGTAAAATTATTGGGAAATTAATGTTTAGACCTATGATTTACAACTATCACATTTAGCTAACTTTTAGTATTTTATAAATACAACATAGAAATTTCAAAACTGTGCAAATTATCTTGTTAAATATACTTTTTTATATGTGTAACTGTAGTCCAACATTATGACTACTTCATTCTTCACTATTGTCTCAAACGTAATTACTATTCCGCTTACATTCAGTCTTTAGATATCCAAATAACATCAATAACTGTCACAGAACAGAAATATCCCACTAACTCAGATTTAATTGTGAACGTTTTTATTTTGTAGTAGAATGTCTTTGAGATAATTATTAGAACTTTGTATATCACTCGTTTTGGTAACTGTTATTAGATAATTCACAACGGTGTGTAAATTTTAGAAGACGATATAAAGTATTGAATACAGTTTATTACTGTACAGCGCGGATCACAAACAAACAGCGAATACGAGCAGAAATATGGATGCGAGCGAATAGGGACGATTGAATTTATAAGATTCAAGTGCATATATATAGGAAAGCGAATGAATGATATAAACATCAAATATTTATGGTAGTAAGAGGGATATATGTGTAGGCTATAACACGTATGGGACGGGATGGTGGCGAATAAAATTCATTAATTTCCACCCTTTCTATTTTTATCAGTTTAGGGCTGTGGAGATTGCTAAGTTTAAACTGATATCATGAATGGGTCAATGCTAGACTACCATTAAGAACCTGGGAACACTGGACGGCCGTTTCGTCTTGCACGCGAACGTTTAACCTCTAGACCTGTGAGCCGACATCCAACCGTGTTAATGTCTAACTTCCACCAATCCAAGATATTGAGCGACCGTCCACCATTGTCTTAAGTCAGTAACTACTTCACAACAAACATGGTTGAAATCCACTGGTTGAGGCTTCGAGTCCCGCTCACGGGGTCGTGGATTATCCCACTAAGAATAAATCGGAATATGACTTAAATGTCAACTGTTGTACAGATGAAATACGTATAATTCCAAAATGGTGTAGTATAGGGTCTCAATGGTGAATAAACTGTACATGCGAACGAATCGGACAAAATTGGGAAGTCCCTTCTTAATAAACAAGTTTATTGTGATCATAGTTACTCGTTTTCCCGAAAACAAATTAACCTAAAAAACAAGTGAAAATAAACATGTTCCTTAGCTACAGGATTCAAGCTAGGAACACAAATAATCCACGAGAGACTGAAGGTCATGTGCTTCAGTCTCGTGTGCGGAATCGTGGATGTTCACTGCTGAGCAGTACCATGCTAGGACAAAATGGCCATTCAATGCTTCCAGGTTTTCACTAGTGGCTTAACATTGATCGGTTCATGATTTCAATGAAATTATAAAAAGAATGTTTACATTTCAGTAAAGGAAATGTTTTGAACAAATTGTTACTCTTCAAATGACACAATCTGTTACATAAGTTCATTAAAGGTCTTAATAAGATTAAACGTATACAGACTTAAGCGTTGGTTAAGTGCTATGATTTCATAGTATTAATTGCAACTAGCTCATGTTTTATATATTATCAATCATATATTTTAGTGAAAATGTTTCTTGTCATTGCATTACTGCTCTATGTTTTTATTAATCCACACCATAGAAATCCAGGAAATCTATCTAGTTCCTTTATTAAAGTTGAAAATAGTGCTAAGAGAGCTTTTGATGCGAATAAGTCAACTCTACTTACTCCAATAAGTGGAAAGAAACCGCGTACAGATTTATTAAATGTAAGTGGTTAATTGTCACATTTTTTGTTCAAATCCATTGGTTTATTCTTGTGGTGGTTGGTGTTCAACATAATCCTTAAACCTCGTGTACAGTTCGTCCTGATAACTGTCTTTAGATAATGCTCCAACGATGTGTTAATCAGAAGGCGAATACAAAGTTTTGACTAAGTATATTATTGCACCACGCACAGATAACCGAAATTAAAGGTACGCTAAGCAAGAATGAAAGATTAGTACGGAAATGCAAGCGAGTGAGGGAGTTGGCGAATCAATGAACAGGATTAAAATGCACATATATATGAAATGAATGAATGATAGAATCAATTAAGCGACTAATAGTAAGGCTAGCAGAATGAATATAAATGTACACAGTAAGCATACATATTCATACAAGTGCAACAATAATAAAGGTAGGTACAAGGGTACAGATAAATTTTTATTTTACGGATGACTCTCCGTTAACAAAAGGGCTTAACCGAACTAAATGTGAACAAACTGAATTGCACGTGAGCTGCCATATTCTCTTTCTGTTTTTTAAAATTCACAGCATAAGCAATAAAAACGTTCGTAACAGTTGAACATCACAATTCCTATTAATTCAATTTATACAGTCGAGTAGTTTTAATATCCTGAATGTTTGGTACCATTGCTATCAAAACTCATTAGTCATGGAATATGATACACAATTTTGTGCCTACAATTGATTAGCATGTGTTCATATAACTACTATTTACACTGTTTAGTAGTATTACATTTTGCTGCTACACCATCAATTCTAGTATTCTCGAATATAAAACAACCAAAAAAACTATGTATAAAATTATTTCTTCAATTTTGATCTCAGTTCATGTCAAAGGATTTTTCTAGTCTTATTAGTGTATAGGCAATTCTCTATTGCATTTGTTATCAGTTATTCAATCAGGTTTGAATTCATACTTTCATAGCGTTACATGTTGATAATTTGATTAATTTTGTTGCTCAGGTTTTAACCTGAGTCAGCCATTTATAAATAATTTGTAGTAGCTTGTACAATACATTTCAACTTCATACCAAAAAGCAAAATGGTCAACACAATACTGCTATTGGCAGCAGGAAATCAACCATAAAAAATATAGTTCGAAAATAATGAATGAATTCGTGAAATGAAAGGTGCGAAATGTTGCTATGACTTATTATTTAGAAATAGATATAGAATCAGTGCAAATATACTCGTGCTACAGATTATGATCTCTGTTACCCGCCTTTTATCCGTAGACATCACGATCATACAGACTGCAACCAATAAGTGTAAATATCTATAATTTGTTCAGACCAGTAACTACTGATCTTATAAATCGATACCAGTTAATATTTTCTCTTCATGTATCTATCTTCTCAACTATTCCTATACACTGGGCGTCATATCGCGTCGGGTTAAATGACAACTTGGGTTTCTTAGCTAATAAGTTGGTGATGTATGGAAGTCAATTCCCTGTATCAAATCGTCCGTCCTATGTTAACTCATTTTAGTCAAAATGAGAATGAAAGTACTTTGTTCCTGACGCTTTCAGTTAATCTACTCACTTAAATCATAGTATATCATTTTGTTAATTATATTCAAGCGGCGATCTAAACTACTTAGTTGTTTGAACTCATTTTAAGAAAATTCCTGTTTGCTGTTCTCTAGAGGTGCAATAAACTTATACGGTGTCTAAATCACTTTACATTTCTGATAAGATCTTCTGGAGTGTACTGAATAGTCAGTCATGTTCAGTGATATATTTAGCCTTTTTTCAAAGAATTTCATAAATATTTTTATATTTTTCGAAAAAATCAGTCCACCATAGCAGCATTCAGTAGCAATTCCAAATTAAATGCCGTGCAATCGCCACTTTTGGCTTGTTCTAGTATGGTTTCATTACATGGAATTGGTTCTACAGATTCTTTGTCATCAGTTCACACGCCTATAACAAAGGCCAAATCTTCAGTTCAAACTCCAGTCACTTCCTGTGTTTCATCGTCGAATTCACCTCAGAAAAAAATTGCCTCAACTATATCTACAAAACGTCGAAGTGCAAGACTGAGTGGAAAGAAAGTCTGCTCAACATTACGTGTTTTACAGGTATAAGATTTCACATTTTACTGTTACTTACTGTAAACGTTAACATAATTTATTTGCGTTTTCACATCGTTAAGAGTTGAATTTAGTTTTTTTTTCAGTAGTGCACAAAATCATTTCTTTTCAAAGCAGATAATCATTTGCAAATATGTTTCTATGATTGAAAGTCAGATAATTTAAACATAAATTTTATATCACTATTATGTCATGACGCTAAACAAATTCAAGTTTTGGGTTATGGTTTTCCATCTAATCCACTTAGTAATTAAAGCAATGCATGACAACTATTTTGAAACTACGTATGGACTCATGCTCGCTGCCTTCACTGTCTACATCTTTGTACAAATCAAACTATATATCTGTCTGTCTATTTAATATTTTACTGAATACATAGAATTTGGTACAATTGGGTATCAATAATATTGTGACAAATATTTTTATTTGGCTTGAGATATTACCTGACCTCTTAAACCGCAAAAGTTAATTTCACTTCTTAAGTCTTTGGGCTAGAGGTTTAACCCACATAGCAGTATTAGGAGATCCCGTCTTATGATAGCCGATGATCAAAATTAGGTTCAAACGTCATTTGTTTCCTCAAGATCCTGGGACCCATGTTCACCGTTGGTTTGTTGTCAGTATCTTCCAATTATAGGTAAATTTTCCGTATTCAGTAACTCAGTTTATGAGTCCGACGCACGCTTTATGTCCGTTGATTTTCGTGAACAACATCCTCTCCACGTAAAGGCAGTAAATAAGACATCCCTGATAGAAACTATAAACGCATGGGTTTACAAAAGAATTTCTAGAGGGAAAGTAGACTCTCCTGCCGTTATCCTTACCTGGAGATTTACAAGCTTATCTGTTTTTAAAATTCTCAATCACAATGTATAGACGTGTATTATCGTACTCTCTGACTTTAAATTTTTATGAGAATGCCAAGTTGTTAGTGTTTACAGATCTATCACAGATCAGTAATTAATAAGCACACCAACCTGAATGATAAGCTTCCTCATTCTACCTAAAATTGAATTCCTGTTGTTATTTTGTTAATTATTAGGTGAAAAATATACAAAACAATAGTGATAATTCTTTCCTTTCTCCTCTCTCTACGGCACCTAGATCTGCTGTGGTAAGTTAATGTCAATTAAATATGCATTTGTCTACTGCAGAAACTTTATAACTCTTTAATGATTGGATTTAGACGTTACTCTACCGTCTTTTAGGTTAGATCTTGACATCCAAGATTTGGTGTATGGGTTGTCCAATAAATTACTTGATCCAATTTTTCCTTTTGTATTAATTGTTTCGGTTGATGTATTTTTTAATGGCTGGTACTCTATATCAAGCCCAATTTATTCATTCTTCCCAAACCACATTTTGACCTTGTCACTTACTAACCCTGACTTTTTAAAATGATCGTATGTCTGTTAGTTGCTTTCCCTATGCATTATGTGTTTGTAATTTATTTTTGTCTGAATGGGAATATTCAGTCACGTTTGACCAAAACAAGTTGGCTCACTCGACATTTCGTTTCTTTGATTATCTGTCTGAACCAATGAGTGTATGAAATATGCATATTTAAAATTCATCCTCGTATTTGGCTTATTTTATTCCGTTATTCTATAACGTGAATGAAATCGATAGTTGTATACGATGGTTGGCGGCATGTATATTCCGAGAGCAATCAGCATACGATTTAACTGGAGTCAAATATCGGGCCACTAAAATTTAAAATTGTTTTCTAACAATCATAGACAGTTTCTCAACAAAATACTCATAATTCTGTCTATGAAACAATGCATTTAGATTGTATTTTATAACCTGTATTCACATCAGGATAATCAAGTTACAACAAACCGATCTAAACAAAAAGGGTGTTTAGTTGATCAGATCAAAATTTTAGTGGTATTAGATCTTGCTATCCATCATTCATAATCGTTTTAGTTAATTAATATGCAAACTTTTATTCATATGTCCATGGTAGACATCTTATTTGTAAAATTGTTTCTTGTTTTAAAAATATAGAAATCTTCACGTATTGTAAATAACACGCCGACACCATCTGTGAAAAATAGAATACACAGAGCTCCATTCCGTACTTGAATTTCATTTAAAGTATTTAGTTATGTATCCTCATTTGTACAAAATCATAATTATTTTTCATATTTACTTTTCGTGATTGTGTATATACGCGTACGTTAATCCATAAAACACTGTTAAATTGTTTACTTTATCTTTATTTCTTTTCAAATTCTCCATTAAATCTCTTTTGTTGGTATAGAATAAGGCTCGCAGGTATTGCTTGGTTACATTTGGCTGTATCACTTTCAGCTTTTTAGTAGCACCCCACTATTTAAGCTGTGATAAGTATCAGGAAACAAAAATTGTCTAGACTATTTAAAATTGCTTAAAACATTTAGAGTAACATTGTGTGTTGCAAAGTCATCCTATTTAACTAATAAGTCGGCTTACATTCTCTAATAGATAATAAATAGTCAGTCAAACATAAACAGAATTTCCATGATTTCCAAGTTCGATTCTGTGAATAATTGACGTTTTCTAAATACTTTCCCAGTGGGTTATGGACGCTGACAGCTATATTAACATCAATTGTAATAGTTACACAGCACGTAGATTTGTATATTTTAAGTGCAACAAGTAAAACTACACTACATACGATGCTGATATGGTATGGACTGGGATACAGATGATAATCTGTGGCAGACGCATGACTCTCATAATAGACTGCACATATATACTTTAGTCTCCTTATGACATCTGATCCATCTGGCATATCAAAAAGCCGTACAAAAGTTTGCGGAATGGTTTCCTGCATACAATTTCAAATTATTTTACTTCAGCTTAACACAATGTATTTGCATTAAGAATTCATTACTTGGCATTCGTTGTCACTCTTCATCGCAAAAATCTTGTTTCCTTAAGTCCTTCGAACTAATTTTGGTGCATTACATTAAATTACTTGTGGTTTTGAAGAAGACTACGGTGATTATGTTTACAAAATATATATCATTTGACAGGAAATATATCAACGACCAACTCGCATTTGCGTGTAATTATCGTTTAGCTGGTATGCAACTTTGCTACTTGAAACCTTGTTTAATGAAGCCTTTAAATTGTAGTTTGATGGTTTCAAAGAAGTGTGCAGACTATAGACCCACACACTCTGACTGACAACCGTATGATCAACCTTTATAATGGCTACAAAGGATGACAGCTTTGTGTATTTTAGGTACAGCGAGTAAATCTACACTGTATATCTCTGCAACATAGATTGAAAAGTTGGTGTTCAGTTACCCAAGAAGACTAGATTATATTTCATGTAGGTAGTCTTATTATCTTGATAAGACATTTGAACAATTTAATTAGATTATCATTAGGTGCTTAAAATCTGCAATATTTCAGAATCGAAATTATAATTGGGGTCTACCATACTTATAGAATCAAACGTAGTCAAGGATTTTGTGCGAACACAAGTTGTTACAGTGCAACGAAAATTCTGAAAACAAAGTTTAAAGAAATCTTATTAAAATGCAACACTTAAGCAACAAAAGGCTTCGTTTGTCACAAAAAGAACAAGGTATTAGCGAAGCTCTATATAGTTTGAATTTACAGTGGTTATTAGATGAAGTCAACACTGGGTAGTGGTAATTAGCACTAATTTCGGCTTGTTTAAAAACCATAGATTCAGGAAACAGCAATGTGTTCAAAAAGGGGTTTTGTCAACTGAGCAAAGAAAGATTAACAACCGTCTGCTTTTGAACTCAGAATTTTGAATTAGTGCTTGTTTTCTACATACCTTAGGAGTTCAGTGTGATGTGTTAACTAGATCTCAGGGGATCACTGCTTGGTACATTTATTGCTCTTAAGCACAAGGTCTTAGAAACGTGTCCAAAAGATTCGGAGTTCTCCTACCGATCGATTTGCTTCGGGGTATACACGTATTGAATACTCATTAAGCGATAAAATTAATAGTGTTTGTAAAATTCTGATTGAGTTCATGAACATGTTCGATGGACGACGGCAAATCTAACTGTACGTTAGTTTCTGAATATTTCTTAAAATTCCTGCCTGATTAATCCCCGCGCTATTTTTTGATCATACTACAATATTGTGACTTCATCTTTACTCGAAAGTTTCTCTGTAGCGGATTTATTGGGACTTGGATACATCGTGGTCTGAAAAATTATTTCATTTTTTTTAGAAGAACCGTATTTTTCAGATTGGTTTTGTTTTGCTTCTTGATCGTTAGGATAGTATCCTTAAAGAGATTATACACCATGTTTAAATAGATTTCTTTATAACTATTCCTCCTGGATGTTGAAATGAATAAGATCGTTTTCTCAGAAAAAATCCCATTTGTATGCAAAATAATAGACTCTGACAGGTTCATTTACACACATTACAACTCATTTAGTACCATAAATTTCCTAATAAGCATTGTTCAGTATATATTCTTCCAATGTATGGAGTGTCGTCCTTTGCCCCGTTGTCATCATCATCATCTTTTCACTTTCTTCATCTTTCTGCCATAGATAAGCATCGTTTAGATTGAAAAATGGATTATTATTTGTTTGAAATTGATATTCTTTCTCTTCAGGTAATTGATACGAATGCTTGTTAGCACATATATTATCATTCTTCTCTTTACCGTTTACTTGTAAATTTATTTTCATAGTATATGCATGTAACATCATATGTTTTAATTTATAATCCAAGTTAACATTATGCATTGTATAAACGTCATTCAGGTAAACGATATTAGGATGATCGAATGGACGACGAACGTAGGTGATATCACCAGCGATTGGATGACCGAGACCAATTGCGCAATGTACACGTAATTGATGACGACGACCAGTTTTAGGAATAAGAAGTACATGTGTGGCTGGTTCACCCATTAATTTGCCATAGTCCAAAACAATAACTGTTGTTAAAGATTCACGTGGTCTCTGAAATAAGATTACATACATTAGAAAGTAAAATGAAGATTTATGAATGTAGAAGGATGGAAACAGTGAACTACCTTACTTTTATTTCAAATGTAGTGTCATGCATCGTTCCTCAATCTTGGTGTTTTTCTTCAATTTTTCCACGTTTAACACCCTAGAAAAACAGCTCTTAACTAGATCCTAGAGGTCTAAATTTGTCACTGAGGGAAAATATATTCTAGTTTTAGTGTACTGGCAACTTCACAGTCATAATCGTTGTGAAGCTTGGCGCAAATATGATTCGACCCAAGTCGTCAGGCTACATTAGTTTGACGAGGTGAAATTGACAAGATGAAAAGCAAGAGAATCGAATTATTGTAGCAGCAATGAAAATGAGAAAGACTAAGCTTTGAGGATACTGTTCGGAAAATAGGATGAAAAGACACGTATAGAGGAATATTGAAATGGAAAGTAAATGCATTTGTGCTTGACAATATCATTAAATACAAGCTACCAATATCAGAATTACCCAGTTGACGATAAGTGATTTTTATAATTAAATTTAATGTACCTTTTATGGCTGTGTCCTTTGATGAAGTCATTTTGAAACATGCTTCTTCCAAACAATGTAAAATGTATATGAGGAAAATGATGCTTATAAACCTTTTAAAACGACCTCTTGACTAATAGCGTAATCAATCAATTCATAATTCCAATACTGTTAAAGACTATTTACTTACATGACATTCTGGATGTGTAATAGGAACAATTATCTTTTGTTTGCGTCCAGTGTTTGGCCAAATATATCGAAATGAACCAATTGGCATTTGGATATGATGTACAAGCTTTGATTCATGTTTGACGAATGATGATGATAAATCTGAGTCACAAAATGACCCAACGTAACCCCAAACTATAGCTAAATAATACTTCTTGACTTCTCTTTTCTCAAATGCACGCCTGATCTAAACATAAAACAATAGTGAAAAACACATAACAGATTGTGATATTTACTCTCAATATCACTGTTATAGATGTTGATGTGAGATCGATCAGTTTTCATTTTTCTGTTGGCTGTACCATAGAAGTGCATTTATTCCTGTTCATCTAAAAGTGTGATTATCGAGTCAAGGGAACAGGTATTTGAAGGCAGTCGTGGATGATCATTTTGTAATTTCAGAATTATTAGTTCCGTACTATTTACGATACTAGTTGGTACCGAAAATCTGGAGTGACGCACTGTAGATTTTCTTAAGTCATTTTACTCGCGGCTCAACAGGATTGCTAGAGATGTGGATGGACACCTCCAGCCTAGAGGGATAGATTGTTAAGAATATCGCACAACGGGAAATTGAGAATGTTGATTCTCGAAATGGGTACGATGATGAAATATTGTAAAATTATTTTTAACTCCTTATACCACTCAAAAAGCTTACTACTCTTTTGATCCGTGTTTCTTATTCGGTGGTACTAATGAAAAAATAATGTTCACATTATGACGAGTCATTTATTTGAACACATTAATATTGGTACAGAGGGGCACCGAACACATATGCGCCACACAATCTACTTGATTTGTTTGCGGGCTATGATACTGCCCATGTACCCAGACCGAAGCAGGTGGTTTTCTTGGGGAGCCACACCCGGAGCCTTCGACCTAAAAGTCTGGTCCACAAGGCAGTGGAGCAACTTCAGGAGATGGAGTCCCATGGTAACCGATGGCCAACAATTGGTTCGTACGCCATTTGTTTCCTCAGGATATTGAAGCCCAGGTGCACCATTGGTTTGGGGTCAGGGTTTTCTAACTCCCTTAGATGGACCCTCCGTGTCCAACCCAGTTAAAGCGCCAAACATTCGCTTATCGTCCTCTCAATTTCGTAAACAACACCCACGCCTCGATAAGGCAGTGAGTAGGACTTCCGTGGCAGTGGCTGTAAACGCGTGGCCATTTCAGAGCATTTCGGGAGGGAGAGCTGGTTCCTCTCACCCTCGGCCTTACCAGGGCATTTGGGGGCAGCGAGTCATACAGTATTTGATTTATGTTTGCCGAGTTCAAATCATATCAATTACCAGGGAAAATAAACTAACTTGTTTTAGTTATTTGGATTATACATTTAAAGTTTACTCGGTTCTTAGAATGCAAATATTTTTGTCTAAACAGCAATTCCTTGAGCGTGGAAATGTGGTCTAAGAACCCCGCTATCAGTCAATGGATTCGAAGTTTGGGAATAAATTAGATACAGGGAACTGAGTAGTGCCCCATAAACACGATAGAAGTCAAATTTACCACATAAACCTGCACATGGCCAGTACGTTCAGTTAAACTAAGAAAATCTAAATTATTATTGGTGTACAGTTAATAACAAAATAGTTAACATGATAATAATTAATCAACAAAATCGTACCATACTTGCAACTTTTGTATCATAAGCGATGCATATTAAACCGCTTGTTGGACAATCGAGTCGATGGACAAAATGAAACATATTTTTCAGTTTCCAGTTAACATAGTGTGGACGGTTGTAGAACAACTACAGATAACAGGAAAACCGTTAGAATTATAAGTATGAAGTTATAAAACAAAAACATTAGCATCAATTCAGTTTTGAAGATGCTTGTGAATACTGAACTGCCCAGCGAGATACAAGTTAGTATACGTAACATACTACTAATACTGTTGACCAATTTTTTTTATTTCTATCTGATATGAAACCATAGTGGAGATGAACACCTGGATGTAAGCAAAATATGTGTTACTATAAGGTTTGGCCAAATGAGTCCTTACACTAATAAAAACACTCGAATGATCAAATATCATGAGTACATACAACCATTTTTACGCGAAAAACTGACAGTCAAGATAGTAAAATAAATGCACAGAAAGTAAATGACGTACAAGTAAATACAATAGAGTCATATTCCTAATTACTTTCAAAGAATAGTTCTTATTTCAGACAGCAGATAGCTGTAACAAATTATACTTTGTTCATGGACTATTAAAATAGAAACTGCAATAGATTGTTACTATGTAACTTAAGAGATGCCAGCATGAATTTGATTCTCCGATTGCTAGAATGGTGTATCTTTTAGTCCACTAGTCCCTTGTTGATCATTGTCACCGATTTCCCATTCCTGTGCCTTTTTAAAAGCTAGTAATTTAAATCACTAAACATTTGTTTGAAATTACGGTTTCTTGTACTTGAGAATCAAATGGACTTGGCTGACTAGTAATTTAGGTAAACTTGACCATTAGGTGGTTAATTGAAACCTCGTTTTATCTTTAACAATCAAAAAGCAACTTATTTTTTCTACTCGACCGCTGAAACTGAAGATGGAGCAGGATTGATACATGTAACTAAGTCAAGTGACTTAAGTAGCAAGCCACTGTTCTGCTGGTTTATGTGCATCGATATATAGGATTAATCTATTAACGACAACTAACGCACTAAAGTAGTTAAGCAATAAACAACTTTCTTCAATTATTGTTTTAACCTCAAATAGATCTTAAAAACATTTAGTATGTTAGGTAACCATTATTTCTCTGGCTAGTGTGTGGATATTAACCAGACGAAATGGGACAGTATATAATTTGCTATGGTACAGAATTCATTGCGATATCAATGAAATGGTTAGAATTGACCATTGTTTTTATTTTAATGTTGTTTTTTTTAATTTACGTTACTAAAGTAATCAAAGTACATAAGTACTACATTAATCTTGAGATCACCTCTTCGATTTTGATAGCCCAACACATGTTTTAAAAATCCAGAGAATTGACTGACCTGCATTTGTAGAGTTAGACAGTTAATCCATGGGGTTGTGCAGTTTATAAGTAACTCAGGATGCTTATTTATAACTAAGAAGCCTTGATTCTCATGAACTACACGCAGGTCATTTATGCGAATCCAACAGTCTCTTTTTCTACGCAGGATTTGATATAATATTATTATATTCCAAACGACAAGAACATAAATTCTAAGAAGAAAAACTCCAACTTCTGAAACAATATTGGATATCGCCATTTCTATCTGGAATAGTTACACCCTTCATTTAGTGCAGCTTATAAACGTGATACCACATAATTACAGGACAGATGAATCTAAAACAAAATAACCACAGTAGTAAATTTAAATACACAGAATATCTAGTGAAATGGTCAAATTTGGTATCATTATGTAGGTTAAGGAAACTTAGAATAACAAACCGAAACGGCGTTGAATACAAGGGTAAGACTCAGTCAATCAACAACGTAGAATTTCGTACGTAAGTACATCAGTTCGTGTTGCCATACCACATTAGCACAGAGATACATTTGTCGATTCAAATCCCGTAGTGGTAGAGATAGCAAAAATATAAGCAGTAATCGGAAACATTCGAGTTGTGTTATTTAAGGAATATAATCCAGTGAAAAAAAAAGGAACATGAATAATAGAATTTGGGAGAACACAAATAGTGGACGCACCTGCGCCATTGCAAACGATTTTGAGATATGTCATTCAAGGTCTATAACCATCGGTTGCTATTGTCTAGTGGATCGCAACCAGGTATCCTACACCTACCAACATGGCTCAGTCCACTAGTCAGTGACTTCATGGATTTGTACCCTCTTACAAGGGTAAAACTACTAAGTGAACCTAAGAAATAGGCAAAACGAGTCCAGTTAGTGGTTTACTACGCAAACCCATCTTCTCTGATCATTTACAATTACATGTCAAATGTGGTATATGAGTACATTATAACGAATGAATGAGTCTAAAGAATTGATGCGGGTAGCAAAAATAATCGTTTTATTATTGGGCCTTTAAAACAACTCAGTAGGCGCATAAAATGGATTTACATTGAATAAGTAACCTCGGGACAATAAGCCTCAGTAACACAAGCGTATAGTTACGACGAATCGGTAGACAAGATTAGTAGTTTATAGAGTATTGACGTTTACCTTTTGTTATATTTGCGTCTAGAATAATGGTACCTAGTGCAATGTGGAAGCGTGAGGAGCAGTATGTGAGAGAAAAAGTGGAGACTACAATTTGTGGGTGATTTTAAAATGAACCCCAGGTAGCCTTGAAAAATTCCAGCCAGTCAGAAAAAACTTGGCTTGCCGTAAGAACAAATCATACGAAACCCGAAAATCAGAACGGACACTTTCTAAAATGGTTTCGAAAATTTTCACGGTTAGGAAAAAGCTCTGCAGTTTTGAACCTGCATTGCATAGGTTAAAGAACTCATTTGTGTGACTCCGTAACAGTCGACATTTGGGGCCATGATATGATCGCAAAAATTCTTCTAGCTTCGACTATATTGGTTCTGTACATTGGTTTGTACTCCCGTGGTTTGGCTTACAGAATGTCGCCTATGAATAACGATCCGAAGCATGTAAGCAAGTATTAGACAGACATCGATATGCCTATCATTCGTCTGTGTACTTTGTGGTACCCACGTGCACATACTCCCGTAAAATTGGAACAATCGTAGTAGCGTTACTGATGGTCTTAGTATCCCGTTTTAAGTTACCATAAATCGTATTAGTGTCAGACAAGTTCGAGTGAATAAAGGCCACCGTACTAGCAGATTTTACCCAGCAACAGATATTACATCGGAACACAACATTTTCGCGATAGTCTACACAATATCTTGCAGTTACTTAATTACCGCAGTTATAAGTAAATGAGCTTCTAAGTGATCTCATTTATTGTTGATGCTTAATTATAACGTCTCCATGAAATTAGCTGTAAACCGACCGTACACAACCGATGTTTATTCATATAGGCACCGTGGACGAAAAAATAAACTAGACAAAAAGGTAAGTACACAAGATGCACTTACATCTAGTGATGATAACAAATGATGAAAACTCTAAATAACGCAAGAGTGAGATTCAGGCAATGTTATAACTGAAATTAGCAGTTGGCAATGTACGGCTTCAAATTACTGGAGACATGAGTCCCCATATAACAACGGGTTAGCGTTAACCTTCAAACAAACGCCTTGGAGCCATCCACATACGTTAGAATGAATTTGCATGTAACAATAACCATTCCAAAATATTCGTGTGTATATATTAACTTATAAATATGACATCTGCACCTTTTCACAATCGTTTTGTAGAACGTCTGGCTTGAAATGATTCGTTACATTCGTGTGGATCAATCCATTCAGGTCGGTTATTGGATATTCGATTCACAGAGGTGAAGATAGGAGGTTGACTGGATCGTTTTAGTTATCGAAATATGTTACTGGGAAGAACATACTTGATTTAAAATCCATCAACAGAAGTTGCTGACACTACGTGCTCTAATAGTGTACCGGTAAGGACACCCTGGAGCGTATCCAACGGCGAGCCACGAAATCAGTTCGAGGACTCAAAATTAAACCTTACGAAGAGCGCCTTCATTCACTTTACCTTTACCCATTAGAGTATAGACGTCTTGGAGGTGACCTGATGGCTTATAGTATCCTTAACACTTCTGGACATCCTCTCAAACACCTACTTAAGCTTAGTTCCAACACTAACTTAAGGGGTAACACCTAAAAGCTGGAGACACAACATAGCAGAACGTACTGTAGACACAACTTCTACTCCTTAAGAGTTGTCAAATGCTGGAATTCGCTGCCGGCCGAGCTTGTCCAAGCGACTTCCCAGGAGTCCTTTAAGAGGCAACTTGATCTACTCTTAAGGACCAAGGACAGCATCATACTATGATTTGCCAATTTCTTTTTCCTCTTTTATTGTTAACATACCTAGGTTTTTGCCTGGAGGATTTGGTGATCCCCTGCTACTAGACACGGAAGCCTGTTAAGCGAAAGCTTCTATTCCGTCCACAACCATTTGAAACATTTTAATTTATTACGTGGTGCACGAAACGAGATACGAACGAGACTATCGTCTCACGTTCCGGTCGCCACGTACGGTTGCCCGTACGCTTCCGCGACTAGTTGCACAGTCAACAACCGATACGGTGTAGGATTATTCCTATGCTACACACATGCTACACTCTTCTCTTTTTTGATTTTCTTTTTGTTTCCTGAGCTCACTCCATCGACCTTCTCCGTTTGGTTCCGTCGACTTCAGTCAACTTTGGCGAAAGCTGGATTGGCCACCCACGCTCTTGTCAACGCACTCAGTCGATATTTTGGTTTCGAATGCTTGGCATACACTTGGTCTCGAACTTTGTCGTTATGGTCGCTTCTGGTTCATCGGCTCAACGTGGTTTCGTCCTACGTCTGCTACGTTTCTGGTCCGCATTCCCTACGAACGCAATCTTCAGATTCTGGATACAAACCACTCTGGTGTAGCATGCCAACTCAAGCAACAAATACAGCACATCGCTCCTGTTCTCCGAAAAAAACCTTCGTTGGCAACTCGACGATCAACGATCGCTTTCCTGTTCGCCAATTCTTCCGTCCTACAATCGCTCGTCAGCCGACCAGTCCCACGATTTAAACCGCTATTTATCGAAAGTGTAAACCCTTTCTAGCGAGGGGCTCCTGTAGTGGCTCACATTTATCACGAGAACACGACTGTTTTACTAAAAACAATTATCATCATAACTAACTGTACCAGTGTTTGTTTTAATGTGCTTTTGTTTGACTGTGCTTATGACAGCTATTTTGTGCTTCCATTCATATAGACACACCTTTGATTGTGAATTCGCGCGAATTCGGTTACGTTCTGTAACCAAGCTTGTATTCTGGCATGATCTCGGTATTCTTTCGATGCCACGAGATCGCCAGCGAATATATATCTCGATTTGGTCCATTAACTGTCTTCCGATATTTGGCTTCTCGGGGATTTTATGGATTTATTTGGTTACGTTCAACCTACGCCTTCTGATTTACTTGGCACGTGTTTCTTTGTAGCGGTGTTCATAGTTAACGTCGACTCGACACCACACTACAATCTCAATCAAAATGTTTTCATTCCGTTTCGTCCAATGAAATGGCTAGTTCTAGATTCGTTATAATTGGCCACTTATTTCTTAAAAATGATGTAAAATGTCAGGACTTGATGACAGAGCACATTTTCTTTTCTTTCTGAAAAATTTTTACTTTTTTGAGACAGAGTAAAAGTTGTTTAATTTATTGATTGTTTTCGGTTAGCGTGATTTATACATTCCTTATTCATTATTTTATCATGATTTATTGATATGTTGACACGCACGCATATAACGTTTATCAAAATAACATACCATGTGTTAAAAAACAAACTAATGTGAATACTTAGGTGATAATTTTTTGGTGAGACTATAATTTATGGACGACCTTTAAACGATGCTAAACTGACCTTGAGAGTGTTCACTTAATAACCGGGGCCAAATGAGCGTTATGAACCTGTGTGAGAAATTAAAATTATGATTTACATTTGATGGTTAGGGTTAGGAATTACATCTGGGGTTTTCATCACGAACTGACATCAGCCATCCGAGACCTGTTATCTTACACTTGATTAGTCCATCCATAAATTATTAATTGTGTATTTGACTACCTTTCAACTACAGTAATCACTAATATCAACTATTAAAACCAGTGGTCAGTTTTTCCCAAATTTTGTTTTAATGATAATACATATAATTAATATTGTCACGATAATTAAGGACTTCAATTCCAAATGTATTTGATCGAAATAAACTTTATCCTGATATATATTCACTGAAAGGACTATTGTAGGGCTGTGAAATGGAAGAGACAATCAAACAGAATTATTTATTCGAAATAAAATTCAAATGTAAAGATGCAAATTCTCACATCCAATCAAAGTACTTGATGCTATTTCGATTTCAACTAATCAAATTACAAAGATGCACATTTTACAGCTAATTAAGAAAAAAATTATCATAGGTGACATGATGTTTGTTCATTGTCACTTGAACACACGCAAAAACAAGTTTACCAGTCACCGATTCCTAAATTTTTTTATCACACCCTATAAGTTCTAATCAGTGGGTGATAGGGAAACACAATAACTGTGCAATTAATGTCAACCCTCAAATATCGCCCTATATATATATATATATATATATATATATATATATATATATATGCTTGAATCTTATTAATTACTTTTCTTCGCTTCGATCCGAATACGATTTAACTCTAAATCCACCTCTATACATGTTTGCTCACACGCATTGACTTCTCTGTTCAAATCCGTTTTGTATGCTTGCCATTTTATTATCTGCACTATCCAATGCTAAACAGTAATCGATACTTGTGTTACTTACTAAAATTTATACACTATTGGGATTTATACAATAACAGTTGTTAGAATGATGATTATTATATGGGATATTTAAGAAATTATCTTGGAACTAAATCACTACAAACTGATCCTTAAGAAAATATCATCAGAAAACAAATGATTTTATAATTTTTATTAACATATTAATTGTAATTGAATAATTTATTTATTTATTTAAATATTGTCTTCTATATATTTTCTATTATGAAGGTTGTAAACATATAGATAACTATTAAAGGTCAATAATAATAATAATAATAATAATAATAATAATAATAATGGGAATAATAATAATAATGATTTTACAAGAAAATGAAAACAATTAACAGATTATAAAATCAGTAATGATAATTATTGAATATTGAAATTGAACATATCCCATTATATATATGTATAGATAAATAGATAGATAATTAAAACAATCCATTTTCTTTGTAAAGTATTCTTCTAATAATCTTCATATTCTATATGATTTTCTGTAATAATATCAGTTTTATTGTATCCATTATTATTACTATTATTATTCTTGATATTCTTGGTATTATTTGGTTCTGAAATGGAAAAAAAACCCCAGTTCAAATGAGACATTTTTTTTCCACAGTGAAACTAGTACGACTATTGAAAATAGTCTTTTCGTCTTCATCATCATCATCATCATCATCATCATCATCATCATCATCATCATCATCATCATCATCATCATCATCATCATCATCATCATCATCATCATCATCATCATCATCATCATCATCATCATCATCATCATCATCATCATCATCATCATCATCATCATCATCATCATCATCATCATCATCATCATCATCATCATCATCATCATCATCATCATCATCATCATCATCATCATCATCATCATCATCATCATCATCATCATCATCATCATCATCATCATCATCATCATCATCATCATCATCATCATCATCATCATCATCATCATCATCATCATCATCATCATCATCATCATCATCATCATCATCATCATCATCATCATCATCATCATCATCATCATCATCATCATCATCATCATCATCATCATCATCATCATCATCATCATCATCATCATCATCATCATCATCATCATCATCATCATCATCATCATCATCATCATCATCATCATCATCATCATCATCATCATCATCATCATCATCATCATCATCATCATCATCATCATCATCATCATCATCATCATCATCATCATCATCATCATCATCATCATCATCATCATCATCATCATCATCATCTTCTTCTTCTTCTTCTTCTTCTTCTTCTTCTTCTTTCTATTCTTTTCATTTTAGTTACGAATATTTACAATTAAGAATATGATCTTGTGGTATTTGTATCTACTAATGATTATTTTATACTTGACTTTTTGGGGCATAGATTGGATTAAAGCATGCTGAATATATGATTGTGTTGGTGCACGCTGATTGACTAATTCTTGTCCAATCAGCTCTAGTCGATACTCGGAGAACACTCTAGAATTATCTCATGTAAAAACTATAAATATACTAACGTTTTTCCTATTATGCTTCTTAATTCCATCTAACCTTGTTATTTGGAACATAGTCTCTTTCCTGTTCAACGGTGTTCTGATTTGGGGACTTGTTGAATGAATTGGTATCCGAGAATACTAAGCAATAGGAATAACTGGGTTGTAATAAGAGAGAAATATAACACTTGATATTGGCTTGATTTCAAATTTCAAATACAATACATTCATTTATGTTTATCTAGTAATCTTTTGTCCAAATTGTGTTATTTGTAGGATCCTTAGTTTATATACTCAAAACCTGTAATACTGACTAGTGTTGGAGATGGATAGAAGTTAGGTATAGTCAAACCGAAATTTGACATTATTCCTTGAAGTAGACCAACTTCTAGTCCGAGCCATGTTGGTCGATGCAGACTACTTGATTAGGGTCCGCGTAACTATCATAACCAATGGCTGGAGACTTTAGGTGAAATGGCTCAGAATCGATCACAATGGCGTAGGTGTATACACTATGTGTTTTCCCTTAAACTGTTAGATTAAAATTACTTTATACCTTTCTTTCTAATTCTTTCTTCCTGTATAATATCCTTAATACCATTAAAGTAACTACTTCTATGAATTTGGTGTTCATCTTGTTGTGTTAATGAGGTGTGGCAACATGGACCGATGCATATATGTACCTGGTCCTACGTTGTAGCTGACTGACTGACTGATAATCATTCAAATACTTCTAATCATCATAGATCTCTAATGAATTTATTTATTAGAATAAATACAAGATCCTAAAGATCAAACAATTTTTGTGTACAGATGAAGAATATGATAAGTTTCTATAGCTAACCAATTAGAACGAATCTACTATATCCCTTAGTAACCTGTTCAGACTTCATTATATAACTGATATATTTTATTCATTCTAATATTAGTCATGGATAATAAGAATTACTTCTATTATAAATTATAGTTTCCTTCAAGATTAATTCATTATAGTTTAAAGCAAAGAAATTATACATAACTAAAATACTGATAACAAAAATGTTACGTACAAACAAACTGAATGTTTTACTTTTATAACCATTTAACATAGATCATTTTGTAATGATTTAACGGCAAGACTATAATTTATGAACAAACCAATCAGATATAAGATAACAGGTTTTGAATTTTGGTGCAAAATTCATTCATCCATTTGGTAAAATATCATTTTGGCTGATGTCAGTTCATGAAGAAAATCATAAATCTAATTCTTCACCCTGGTTTATAACCATCATTTAGTCTTAGTTAGTAGGTGAACATTCTCAAAGTCACTCTTAATGGTCATCCATAAATTATAGTCTCATGGATTTAACATTTACCACGTCAAAACTAGAAAGATAATAAATTTGTGTAAGCTCTTTGGTATATTTATTTTATGCTGTCATTCATAATCATTTTGTTTACTAGTAAGAACTATTAACATAATGAAAATGCCACAGGTACTTGGAGTTTGACAGCGCTTTAACCATTAACATTTTCTACTATGAATCGTACTAACCAAGTGAAGTCAAAAGAAATAAGTGAATAGGTTCGAAGATATATTTGATAAGCTATCAATATATAGAGGATTGACTGATTTAGACTGGCGTTCCCACTCGTGAACTGGTGCGAATGCATGACCGAGCGCCTTCAGCTCGGTGAGTCCATTAAAACTAATGTGGTCAGCATCCAATGTCTTTACATTATACTACCCACACTTTTATCAGTAATAATCACGGAAAATATTAGTATCTCTTCAGATTATTTAAAATAATTGAAGTTATATTGAACTTAACACCGTTGGACTGGAGGTTCTAGGTTCGAGTTCTGCACGCAGGATCGTGAATGCGCACTGCTAAGAAGTTCAATACTAGGACGAAACGGTTGTCCACAGCTTCCAGGTTTTCGATGGTGATCTAGCTTACATGTACTCATGAATTCAACTATTAAAATAATCTCATTATTTTATTTGTTATTAAATGTTTTACTCATCATGTTCATTACTATCGTTGATATTGATATTTCAACTATTATGTTCTCTTTCTTGTCGTTTCTTTATAGTAGTATGAACCATAAAAACTTGAACCGATACATATTTTTCAATTGATATCGTACATGGATGAGTGTTAGACCATCATTGAAGACTTAGAAAAACTGGATGGCTGTTTCATACTGAAATGCTGCTGAGGAGTTCAGTACTAGGACGGAAGGACCATTCAGTATTTCAAAGTTTCCAGTGGTGGTCTCCAGTCAGTCAGTCAATAACAAAGTGGAACGTCGTACGTACGTACATCAGTTCGAGTTGTCACACCATATTAGCACACAGATACAGTTGTCGATTCAAATCCCTTAGTGGTAGATGTAGTAAGATTATAAGCAGTAATCGGAAAGATTAGGGTTTGAAGATGTTATTCAAGAAGTATAATCCAGTGAAATGAATTTGGAAAGAGAAAGAAATGAGACAAGGAGAATTCAGGAGATTACAATTTAAGAGAACAATAAGAGTGAATGAACTTGCGCCATTGCAGACGGTGTTGGTCTAACATTGATCCATTCATGATATCAACTGAAACTCAACAATCTCCATAACCATATACTGGTACATATATTTGTACAAGATTTGAATTTGTCTATAGCTGACTAACGGATTGATATAAATATTATGATTATTTTCATCAGTCAACAGTATTTCAAAATCAACTGGATTGGATGTATGTTTTTTTCTTTAAAATTTATGAAATAGGTTGATATATTTTGTATGATTATTATGTAAACAATCATACTTTGAAGGCATACGACTGAATTAATGCAAAGAAAACAACAACAACAACAATAACAACCATCTACGTACTTTGTTTTAATATATCCTTAAATGTATCTTGTACAATTTGGTCAAAATTCCATTCTTTTAATTCTTTGTCAAGATTATCTGAGATCCAAACTTTCCTTGAGATCACTTCACCTTAAAAAATATAAATATAATTTATACATTGAAATGTTAATAATTTCATCGTATAAAGTACCTGTATGAAAAGATGTGAAATGAGGTATAAAGTCGAAAAAAGTAAGCTGAGAGAATTGAAACATTTAAATGTCTATTTGAATGTGATGAGTAGTAGTGAGACTAAAATGCGATTGGTCATTGAGCGTGAACAAACACACCTAGACTTACACTCGTTACCCCTCATGCAAGAGCGTAGGCCACCCAACAGCATTCTCCACCCAACTTTGTCCAGGGTAATCCTTTCCAGTTCTTTCCACTTCTCATTAATACTTTTTTTATCTGCTTCCAATTCCTGACGTATTATGTTCTTAGGCCTTTCACTTTTCCGTTTCCCTTCAGCATTACAAGTTAGCGTTTGCCTCGAGATGCCGTTTAGGGATTCCCGTAATGTATGTCTTATCCACTTCCAAAGTCTTTTCCTAATTTCCTCCTCAGCTGGAAGCTGATTTGTTCTCTCCCACAGTAGGCTGTTACTTGCGATATTCGGTCAACGCACATTGAGTATCTCACGTAGATAACTGTGTATAAATACATGTACCATTTTGATGATGGTCGTGATAGTTCCGCAAGTTTCAGCACTGTACAATAGAACTATGTCGGCGTTCGTATTTAAGATTGTGAGTTTGATATTAATTGACAATTGTTTTGAGTTCCATATGTTCTTCCATTGTAGGATTGTATCCCTTGCTTTGTCAATCCTCGTCATTACGTCTGCATCAGATCCTCCACGTCCATCGATGATGCTGTCCAGGCAGGTAAGTAAAAGATCCTCCATCTTTCAGAGCTTCTTCACCAAGTGTGATTGGATTGGTGTTCTCCGTGTTGTATTTGAGGATGTTGATTTTTCCTTTTGTGTATGTTGAGGCCGAACTACAGTGCAAAGTTGTGCATGGAAGACACCTGACAGATGCATCTCAAGTGGGGACTGGGGTTAAATAAGCCTGCCTACTCTCCCCCTTCCTCTTTCTTCCGATGGCTGGCTGGATTATGAAGACCTTGATTTTCTTTCCTCTCATTGATTTCTATTCCGGACTGAGTTTGACTGTTTGTAACTGTATTGAATAATGTATTATCTAATGTTGATCTAGTTCTTTATTCTGGTTTATGAGTCTTGGATCTGATATAAATTGACTAGTCTCATTATCGTAGTACATCTGAATCATCGGTGTCAAAGCCGAGGCAAACTGTACTACTGTACATAGATTACATAGATCAATATAGCTTAGTGAGTACCATTTTTTCTCTGAATTAGTTCGGATTAATGACACATCTTACTGATCAAAACTGTTCGTATGAACTGTGACGAATGATATTTTTAGTCCTATTCTGTATTAAAAAATGTTCATATTTTTACAGTTATACTCGGAAATTATATGATTGTATACTTTAATTGTAAAACATTTTGTGATGTCTCCAAAAAATGTCATTAACATGTAGTCTAGAAAGAAGTGTCATCCGATTGTTTTTCTTAGTAACATTTCTTGTCAGTACGAGACGTGATGAGTTATTTCCTATATGTGTACTATTACGACGGGCATATGTATTTATATTTTTTTGTTTTCTAGACGTAGTCTCATACTTTGCAGTTCCTTTCCTCTCATTGGCTGACTGACAAGGTTAAATGGATTATAGGCTAGAAGTTAATTGGTTCAACTTCGAGCCTTTAATTATTGGTCATTCTGTTAAGTTTATAGCTTGTAAGTAGTATACTGATAGGCTTTTTCTTAACAAAATTTCTTAATTTTGACTAGTATATGGGAAATTCTCATTACATTTTAATTCCTTTATCATTGAAAGGACTAGACAAACATGAAATTAATCACTAATTAAGGATCAGCCAGTAGTCAATATTTCAGTTTTGTAAAGGATCAGTTACAGCCTGAAAAAACTCAATGGTAAGGTCTCAGACTGTGAACCTAGTTAACATGGGGTGGAATAATGCAAGGAACGTCAGTACCATCGAGATTACAGGCAAAACTTACTGAAAAGTGCCACATAGTACAAAAACTTACATCAATAGTTTCTTTTTGATTATCTCAATCTACCGAACAATAGTATTATTCCTTATTTATCTCACTTAATATATATTAAATATTTCATTTAAAGTATGAAAAAGATTTTAGTTTACAAAATGTTTAATATTTTAGCTTATTATTCAAGATAGATATCTTCCTTTGAAGAGATATGAAAAGAAAAAGAATCGAGGAATAATACATCCATTCTATTTACTTACGTGGAGGTGTTTTTTCTTTTCCAGTTGGTAAAACTGTTTTTAACAAGTCGTCTAAGTCTAGTTGATCATCAAAGAACTTCATAATATCTTTCTCTGTTAGATTATTTTTTCTACCCATTGTAAACCAAGAAGTTTCCGTTTCTATTGAGCTTTCATCTATTTTGACATGGAAAAAAGAATGTGATTTTTTATCGAGAAATTAAGATGAGAATTTTCCAAAGATTATTTTGTACAAAGTACAATTGAATTTAAGTGAATACTTACTTATGCCCGTTACTCCTCGTGGAGGAGCGGAGGCCACCCATCAGTACTCGCCATCCAAACCTGTCCTGGGCAATCCTTTCCAGCTCTATCCAGTTGTTATTCATCCTTTTCATATTTGCTTCTATTTCCCCGATGTAATGTATTCTTTGGCCTTCTTTTCCTCTTCCCCTCAGGATTCCGGGTTAGGGCTTGCCTCGTGATGCAGTTTGATGATTTGCGTGATGTATATCATACCCATTTCCATCATCTTTTCGTAATTTCCTCCTCAGCTGGAAGCTGGATTGTTCTCTCCCACAGAAGGCCGTTGCTGATGGTATCCAGCCAATGAATGTTGAGTATCTTGCGTAGACAACTATTTATAAATACTTGTACATGTTTGATGATGGTTAAAGCGGTTCTCCAAGTTTCAGCTCCATACAGTAGAACTACCCTGACGTTCATTTTGAAGATTCTGACTTTGATATTGGTTGAAAGTTGTTTTGAGTTCCATATGTTCTTCGATTGTAGGAATGCGGCCCTTGCTTTGTCAATCCTCGCCTTTACATCTGCATCTGAACCTCCTTATTCATCGATGATGCTTTCCAGGTATATGAAGGATTCTACATCTTCCAGAGTTTCGCCATCAAGTGTGATTGGATTGGTGTTCACCGTGTTGTATTTGAGGATCTTGCTTTTTCCTTTGTGTATGTTGAGGCCTACTGATGCCGAGACTGCTGCTGCACTGGCTGTTTTCACCTGTACTTGTTCATGTGTATGGGATAGGAGGGTTAAGTCATCTGCGAAGTCTAAGTCGTCCAAATGGTTCTGAGCTATCTATTGTATTCCGTGCTTTCCCTCAGAAGTCGAGGTCTTCATAATTCAGTCAACCACCAGAAGAAAGAGAAATCGGTGGAGGAGACTGTCTTGTCTGACACCGGTTTTTACTTGGAAAGCATCTGTCAGCTGCCATGCGTGCACCATTTTGCACTGTAGTCCATCGTATGAAATCTGGATGATATTGGCAATCTCAGGTACTCAATAGTGTCGAAAATTTAAGTGGATATCTAGCAAAAAATTAATGTATTGGATAACTGTTTCATTGTAGCATACTACTTCTCATTAGTATGGATTTCTGAACATGTCAGGGTTATTGTATTGTTCGTTATCCGGATAACTTATTTTAGTAGTATTTTAGTGAACGTGAACATAAGTGGGAACAATCGAATGTATTTTAATACAAAATTACAGAACATTTTAGTAAAATCTGAGAACCATACAATAAATACTTCATTTGCAAAATGTAAATCAATCGTCTCAGACTTCATTGTTCTTTCATTTCCATACCAATCATTCTCTGTTCCTAATCTTTTTTTTCTTAAATCTTCTTAACCTTCTACCACTAGGTATTTCACTTTCGATTCATGATACATACTACTTATATCTGTCTACATCAGTAGCACACATCACAATATTCTTATTTATCTTTTCAATCTTTACATATTCATAGTAATTGAAAAGAAACTTATCACAAGTTTCATAGTGATTTATTTATTTTTTAAATGTCAATCTAACCAATAAGATAATTGTAGATTGTGTTACTTATTTAAAAAAAGAAATCATTAAAGCATAATTGATTCTGTCATAATAATGAAACAATGAATTAGTATGTGAAGCACAAAGACATGGGCTATTTAGCGACTCCAAATGGATCGTATGGATGTTATTGAAATAAACATATCGTCAATCCTCATGTAAAATTATTAACTTAGATCGCGTTAAGGAATAACGGAATTAAATAAGTCAAATATGAGAATGCATTTTCGAATACATATATTTTATACAATCGTTGTTTAAAACAGATAATCAGAGAGACGTAGCGAAGGAAGCGAAGAGGAGAGAGCGTAACAAAACAGCGTGCAGTGGAGAAGGCATATGAGTGAACTCCATCTAATCAAGCTTTAATTAATATTTATATTCACACAAAAACAAGTTACACACATATGATGAATAGGATAAGAAGTGTACTCACACATACTCTCATATAAAAACAGTCAAGATTGATAAGTGAATAATTAACAAGATCAAAATATTAATCAAGAGGAATGAACAAATTGTCTTATCCAGAAGCTAGAATAAGGTGCATGGGCATAACATAGCAACTGACACTACGAATACACACTAAGCCGTTTAAAATTTCATATAATTAAAGTTTTAACAAATCTATTTTAGTTGCCATTGAAAATTTCTAAACATTACTATAAAATTATGTACTTATATTAATTTAATAGTTGAATTCATGAGTCAGTTGAAGCTAGGCCACCATGGAAAACCTGTAAGCACTGGACGGCCATTACGTTCTAGTATAGGATTCCTCAGTAGTGCGCATCCATAATCTTGCCTCGCGAGATTCGAATCCAAAAAACCTCCCTCTGATTATTCCTTATATGCTGTTATTGTATAATATGAAATTTATTCATTTATGCAATATATCCTCAAATATCTTGAATTGGATATCACTATTTTTCTAACCAGAATATATATATTCCCTCTTTTCGATTATTATGTGTATAGTAATCAGAATAGTAACTGCACTACCGATTATAATTAATAGTATAGATGTACCATACCTGAATTTTTACTTCCATTCTTACGCTCAAATAAATCTTCATCTTTTGTTTGATTGTTAAGATAATTGAGTAGATCTTTATCAGTTATATTTTTATCACCCAATTTAACAACCCATGTTGTTTCAACCACTTCATCATCTGAATAAAAAAGAAACAGAGATGAACAAAGCATGTATCATAACAAATGGTAAAGTTTCCTTTCATGGAACATAATCACTGTGCAGTTCAAATAGATTATATTAAATGTAGTAGTTAAAAATAAAATTTATATGAATAAGAATTCTTTGACGAGACTATAGTTTATAGATGAACTAAGGAGATATAAAATAACAGGTTTTGGATTTTGACTTGAAATTCACTCATCAATTTGGTTAAATAGAGTTTAGGCATTACAACTGATATCCGTTTGCGACGAAAACATCGAATCTAATTCCTAACTCTAATCATCAACCATAAATCATTATTCTAATTCCTCACACTGGTTTATAACCTTTATTCGGTACTAGTTATTAGGTGGACACACTCAAGGTCAATCTAGCGTCGCTCAAAAGTCGTCCATCAATTTTAGTCTTCAATTCTTTTGCTGTACAGTATAGTTTATGAGTCAATGCTAATAATGAAATATATGCAATAACAAAAGATACTAATTTGAGTGTAGCAAAACGACAAGTTTACTTATAGTGACAAGAACAATAAAAATTTGAATCAGTGTTTTCAAATGGGAAGTAGATCAAAACTTAAAAGAAAATAACTACAAAATGTTACTTAATAAGAAGTTGTGAATGATCAGTCTAGTACAGTGAAGAAGAGAAACAAAAGAGATGTCAAGGGTCAAACCACTGGTAGAAAGAATTAATTCATAGCCTACTAGACTTTCTCTAAGGTTATTAGTATAACTGTACATCATATTGAGTCCATATTAAAATCCAATCAACAATAATGTTACAAACAGAGGGGTTTTGTGGATATTATAGTAATTTTAATAGTTGAATTCATGAGTCAGTTGAAGCTAGACCACCATGGAAAACCTGGAAGCACTGGACGGCCGTTCCGTCCTAGTATTCGACTCCTTAGCAGTGCGCATCCACGACCCCGCCTCGCAGGATTCAAACCCAGGACCTAGCAGTTTCGTGCGCGCGAGCGTTTAACCACTGGACCACTGAGCGGGCATTCAACAGTGTTGATGTTTACCTTCAAATAATCCACGAAATTGAGTGACACATCCATCATTGTCATTTGTGAGTTGCTATCTCATAACTGACCCCAATGAACTCCACTGCTTCTCACTAGAACTGAGGATATAAATCTTGAAGTCGGTCACTAGTGTGCATATATCGATTAGTATCTCTACATAACCCCTACTGTATTATTACTATTTCTTACCTTTAATCTAATTAGTTGACCTTTTAATTTTCATATAAAAATATTTTAAGAAATATATGGTGTATGATCAGATTGTTCGAAATGTATTGCGCAAATATATATATATCACATACTTCTGACAAACTTCATCTCCTCATTACATTATCGAAATTTATCAAAAGGGACTAATTGTTTTAAATTTCTGAGAAAAACAAACATCATGTTAGAAAAGTAATGTATGGTAATAAACTAACCATTTTATTATAACTTACAATAATCATCTGATGAATTTGATGAAGGTTTTTCTTTGTATATAATAGTTTTCCTCATAATTGGCTTGAACTGATCTATTGAATTTGTAGTTCGTTTCGAAATTTTCTTTACTCTAATTGTGGTAGATATATCTTCATAATTTTCGTAATAATCAACATCAGTGGTTACGGCTAAAAAAATATTGTTTAGAAAATTTGTGAAATCAATAGACTAATGTAAAAGTTCAACAGTTGTAGATAAGCTTTGAATACGTATTCATCTATCTATCTATCTATCTATCTATCTATCTATCTATCTATCTATCTATCTATCTATCTATCTATCTATCTATCTATCTATCTATCTATCTATCTATCTATCTATCTATCTATCTATCTATCTATCTATCTATCTATCTATCTATCTATCTATCTATCTATCTATCTATCTATCTATCTATCTATCTATCTATCTATCTATCTATCTATCTATCTATCTATCTATCTATCTATCTATCTATCTATCTATCTACCTATATAAATAATGAAGTCATGAATGTTTTGGTTATAAACTTATTTGAACAAACACTAGGAAAATATTTCTTTCGTTTTGATAAAAATTCTTATCATAAAACTTAACTAAATAAAAAAAGTTAATCAGTGATAAAAAACTTGGAAAACAAAATAAAGTTATTATTTAAGTTATTATGAAAACCTTAAATGGTATTGAGAATAAAGGCAAAAATATTAAAGTAGATTTGAGTATATAAATAGAACGTATCAAGAATTATGAAATAATAGTGAATAGTAAGAGAAAGTATTCTATTTCATTTACATAATAAAAAGATTCTATTCTATTAAAGAAAAACGCGAATATGAAAGAATTATGAAGAAAGGTTAAGAAAACATGAATTGAAGAAACGATTAAATAATAAATAAAAAATAGAAACAAGAAAATAATTCAGCAACAGAAGAAAAATAAAACAACATGAATAAAGAAAAAATTAAACAAAAGATATAGAAAGAGGAGTTGAGAAGAAATATAGAGAAACAAAAGGGGGTAAAGCAACGGTATCAAGGAAATGTTCGACGTGGTTCCCAATGGACAGTGGGACATTGAAGGGGAAGTGGATGGAAGGTTGCGGGTGACGTGATGTGCGATGAGGAAATCAGTGTGAATATGTGTGAGGATGTGTGGAGAGTGGTATAGGAATTGTTATGTGTGTGACTCACGTTTCACTGAACCGGTGACTGGTGTCGAGCTGGTTGGTGTGTCTGATGGTGTTTTACGAGGTCGAGGTCGTCTTCTCCTCTTACCAGACTTGTCAATGTAGTAGATGTAGAGATCGTCGTCGTCCGGTGTTGTGCTGGAAGGCGATTGTGTGTCTGGTGTCGCTCCGGGTTCTGTAAACGGAAGAGAATGAAACAGATAGACGTGATAGTAATTTGTGTGTTGTCGGGTGTTGTCGGAGGCTGTGACAATGACAGTTGCAGTGGGACATGTGCATGTGGTTGATGAGTTGGTCTGTGTGCGAGACGAGTGGTTCACGTGTGTGCAGTTGTGTGCAGTTGTGTGCAGTGTTCAGTTGTGATGATCGAGTATGTGCATGTGTGGATGAGATGGTGTAGTATTGTGTTGTGTTGGTGATGGTGAGTGTGTGTGAGTGTGTGTGTGTGTGAGTGTTTGAGTGAGTGAGTGAGTGAGTGGTTGAGTGGTTGAGTGGGTGAGTGGATGAGTGTGTGATTGTTTTTCGGAGATGTTTGTTGTTGGATGAGGAGTGTTGTTGTAATGAGTGGAGGAGTGATAGACAGGGTTTCTGGGTTTGTGGGTTTCTGGATTTGTGGATTTCTGTGTTTCTGTGTGTGTTTGTTTGTGTGAGTAAGTGGGAGTGGACGTTTGTATTGTGTTGTGTTGTAGACGGTCATGTGAGTGGAAGACACAGAGTGGAGTTGACGTGTGTGGCAGCACGGTGTCACTGACATGTTCGCCGTGGTTCCCAATGGACAGTGGGACATTGAAGGGGAGGTGGATGGAAGGTTGCGGGTGACGTGATGTGCGATGAGGAAATCAGTGTGAATATGTGTGAGGATGTGTGGAGAGTGGTATAGGAATTGTTATGTGTGTGACTCACGTTTCACTGAACCGGTGACTGGTGTCGAGCTGGTTGGTGTGTCTGATGGTGTTTTACGAGGTCGAGGTCGTCTTCTCCTCTTACCAGACTTGTCAATGTAGTAGATGTAGAGATCGTCGTCGTCCGGTGTTGTGCTGGAAGGCGATTGTGTGTCTGGTGTCGCTCCGGGTTCTGTAAACGGAAGAGAATGAAACAGATAGACGTGATAGTAATTTGTGTGTTGTCGGGTGTTGTCGGAGGCTGTGACAATGACAGTTGCAGTGGGACATGTGCATGTGGTTGATGAGTTGGTCTGTGTGCGAGACGAGTGGTTCACGTGTGTGCAGTTGTGTGCAGTTGTGTGCAGTGTTCAGTTGTGATGATCGAGTATGTGCATGTGTGGATGAGATGGTGTAGTATTGTGTTGTGTTGGTGATGGTGAGTGTGTGTGTGTGTGAGTGTTTGAGTGAGTGAGTGAATGAGTGAGTGAGTGGTTGAGTGGTTGAGTGGGTGAGTGGATGAGTGTGTGATTGTTTTTCGGAGATGTTTGTTGTTGGATGAGGAGTGTTGTTGTAATGAGTGGAGGAGTGATAGACAGGGTTTCTGGGTTTGTGGGTTTCTGGATTTGTGGATTTCTGTGTTTCTGTGTGTGTTTGTTTGTGTGAGTAAGTGGGAGTGGACGTTTGTATTGTGTTGTGTTGTAGACGGTCATGTGAGTGGAAGACACAGAGTGGAGTTGACGTGTGTGGCAGCACGGTGTCACTGACATGTTCGCCGTGGTTCCCAATGGACAGTGGGACATTGAAGGGGAGGTGGATGGAAGGTTGCGGGTGACGTGATGTGCGATGAGGAAATCAGTGTGAATATGTGTGAGGATGTGTGGAGAGTGGTATAGGAATTGTTATGTGTGTGACTCACGTTTCACTGAACCGGTGACTGGTGTCGAGCTGGTTGGTGTGTCTGATGGTGTTTTACGAGGTCGAGGTCGTCTTCTCCTCTTACCAGACTTGTCAATGTAGTAGATGTAGAGATCGTCGTCGTCCGGTGTTGTGCTGGAAGGCGATTGTGTGTCTGGTGTCGCTCCGGGTTCTGTAAACGGAAGAGAATGAAACAGATAGACGTGATAGTAATTTGTGTGTTGTCGGGTGTTGTCGGAGGCTGTGACAATGACAGTTGCAGTGGGACATGTGCATGTGGTTGATGAGTTGGTCTGTGTGCGAGACGAGTGGTTCACGTGTGTGCAGTTGTGTGCAGTTGTGTGCAGTGTTCAGTTGTGATGATCGAGTATGTGCATGTGTGGATGAGATGGTGTAGTATTGTGTTTGTGTTTGTGGGTGGGATATATTTTGAGGGTCGTCGGCACAAGTATTGTAAAAGATCTGTCAGTTGTTTAACAATATGAGTGTGAGTGATATTCACATGAATTGCATTGGAATACAATGCTTTGATTGGGCTGGTCTGTGCATTCAGTACTGAGTGAAGGGAATTCAGGAAACGAATATAATCGCGATTAAAAGTGAGGTAACAATTTTCAAGCCAATAAGTTAAGCAGCCTGATCATGTGTAGAATTCACGTGTAGCACACAGTTCGCATACAACACGAAAACAAACTCACGTGGAGATGTCGGTGTGGTTCGCCTCCTCGGTCTTCCACTTCGTCTGTGTCTCTTTCCATGCTTGTCAGTGTAGTAGGAGGTGGTGTCGGTCTCCTCGGTTGTCATGCTGGTCGACTCGGTGCCTGTCACACAGGAAGAGGAAGAAGACATTGCATCAGTGTGACAACGTGTCCCGTGACTATTGTCACTCTACTCAACAATATCACACACTCACGACTTCAAATCACCCACATCATAACACAACAAATCATCACATTGATACACGCAACACAACATTCAGTTGAATGTGGCGTCATTCAACTCACTGCCAATAGATAGTGATGCCTTACGCTCAGTGTGCTGTTAGTCCTTCTGGTCGATCAATGCTGCTTAGATATTTTGTGCGATTCATATTTGCTGTCTGAACAGATAAGAGTATGTGAATGGAATGATGTATGTGAACGTACATGAGATGCAAAAATTAGTGTGAATATGTGTGAGGATGTGTGGAGAGTGGTATAGGAATTGTTATGTGTGTGACTCACGTTTCACTGAACCGGTGACTGGTGTCGAGCTGGTTGGTGTGTCTGATGGTGTTGTACGAGGTCGAGGTCGTCTTCTCCTCTTACCAAACTTGTCAATGTAGTAGATGTAGAGATCGTCGTCGTCCGGTGTTGTGCTGGAAGGCGATTGTGTGTCTGGTGTCGCTCCGGGTTCTGTAAACGGAAGAGAATGAAACAGATAGACGTGATAGTAATTTGTGTGTTGTCGGGTGTTGTCGGAGGCTGTGACAATGACAGTTGCAGTGGGACATGTGCATGTGGTTGATGAGTTGGTCTGTGTGCGAGACGAGTGGTTCACGTGTGTGCAGTTGTGTGCAGTTGTGTGCAGTGTTCAGTTGTGATGATCGAGTGTGTATATGTGTGGATGAGATGGTGGAGCATTGTGTTTGTGTTTGTGGGTGGGATATATTTTGAGGGTCGTCGGCACAAGTATTGTAAAAGATCTGTCAGTTGTTTAACAATATGAGTGTGAGTGATATTCACATGAATTGCATTGGAATACAATGCTTTGATTGGGCTGGTCTGTGCATTCAGTACTGAGTGAAGGGAATTCAGGAAACGAATATAATCGCGATTAAAAGTGAGGTAACAATTTTCAAGCCAATAAGTTAAGCAGCCTGATCATGTGTAGAATTCACGTGTAGCACACAGTTCGCATACAACACGAAAACAAACTCACGTGGAGATGTCGGTGTGGTTCGCCTCCTCGGTCTTCCACTTCGTCTGTGTCTCTTTCCATGCTTGTCAGTGTAGTAGGAGGTGGTGTCGGTCTCCTCGGTTGTCATGCTGGTCGACTCGGTGCCTGTCACACAGGAAGAGGAAGAAGACATTGCATCAGTGTGACAACGTGTCCCGTGACTATTGTCACTCTACTCAACAATATCACACACTCACGACTTCAAATCACCCACATCATAACACAACAAATCATCACATTGATACACGCAACACAACATTCAGTTGAATGTGGCGTCATTCAACTCACTGCCAATAGATAGTGATGCCTTACGCTCAGTGTGCTGTTAGTCCTTCTGGTCGATCAATGCTGCTTAGATATTTTGTGCGATTCATATTTGCTGTCTGAACAGATAAGAGTATGTGAATGGAATGATGTATGTGAACGTACATGAGATGCATAAATTAGTGTGAATATGTGTGAGGATGTGTGGAGAGTGGTATAGGAATTGTTATGTGTGTGACTCACGTTTCACTGAACCGGTGACTGGTGTCGAGCTGGTTGGTGTGTCTGATGGTGTTGTACGAGGTCGAGGTCGTCTTCTCCTCTTACCAAACTTGTCAATGTAGTAGATGTAGAGATCGTCGTCGTCCGGTGTTGTGCTGGAAGGCGATTGTGTGTCTGGTGTCGCTCCGGGTTCTGTAAACGGAAGAGAATGAAACAGATAGACGTGATAGTAATTTGTGTGTTGTCGGGTGTTGTCGGAGGCTGTGACAATGACAGTTGCAGTGGGACATGTGCATGTGGTTGATGAGTTGGTCTGTGTGCGAGACGAGTGGTTCACGTGTGTGCAGTTGTGTGCAGTTGTGTGCAGTGTTCAGTTGTGATGATCGAGTGTGTATATGTGTGGATGAGATGGTGGAGCATTGTGTTTGTGTTTGTGGGTGGGATATATTTTGAGGGTCGTCGGCACAAGTATTGTAAAAGATCTGTCAGTTGTTTAACAATATGAGTGTGAGTGATATTCACATGAATTGCATTGGAATACAATGCTTTGATTGGGCTGGTCTGTGCATTCAGTACTGAGTGAAGGGAATTCAGGAAACGAATATAATCGCGATTAAAAGTGAGGTAACAATTTTCAAGCCAATAAGTTAAGCAGCCTGATCATGTGTAGAATTCACGTGTAGCACACAGTTCGCATACAACACGAAAACAAACTCACGTGGAGATGTCGGTGTGGTTCGCCTCCTCGGTCTTCCACTTCGTCTGTGTCTCTTTCCATGCTTGTCAGTGTAGTAGGAGGTGGTGTCGGTCTCCTCGGTTGTCATGCTGGTCGACTCGGTGCCTGTCACACAGGAAGAGGAAGAAGACATTGCATCAGTGTGACAACGTGTCCCGTGACTATTGTCACTCTACTCAACAATATCACACACTCACGACTTCAAATCACCCACATCATAACACAACAAATCATCACATTGATACACGCAACACAACATTCAGTTGAATGTGGCGTCATTCAACTCACTGCCAATAGATAGTGATGCCTTACGCTCAGTGTGCTGTTAGTCCTTCTGGTCGATCAATGCTGCTTAGATATTTTGTGCGATTCATATTTGCTGTCTGAACAGATAAGAGTATGTGAATGGAATGATGTATGTGAACGTACATGAGATGCATAAATTAGTGTGAATATGTGTGAGGATGTGTGGAGAGTGGTATAGGAATTGTTATGTGTGTGACTCACGTTTCACTGAACCGGTGACTGGTGTCGAGCTGGTTGGTGTGTCTGATGGTGTTGTACGAGGTCGAGGTCGTCTTCTCCTCTTACCAAACTTGTCAATGTAGTAGATGTAGAGATCGTCGTCGTCCGGTGTTGTGCTGGAAGGCGATTGTGTGTCTGGTGTCGCTCCGGGTTCTGTAAACGGAAGAGAATGAAACAGATAGACGTGATAGTAATTTGTGTGTTGTCGGGTGTTGTCGGAGGCTGTGACAATGACAGTTGCAGTGGGACATGTGCATGTGGTTGATGAGTTGGTCTGTGTGCGAGACGAGTGGTTCACGTGTGTGCAGTTGTGTGCAGTTGTGTGCAGTGTTCAGTTGTGATGATCGAGTGTGTATATGTGTGGATGAGATGGTGGAGCATTGTGTTTGTGTTTGTGGGTGGGATATATTTTGAGGGTCGTCGGCACAAGTATTGTAAAAGATCTGTCAGTTGTTTAACAATATGAGTGTGAGTGATATTCACATGAATTGCATTGGAATACAATGCTTTGATTGGGCTGGTCTGTGCATTCAGTACTGAGTGAAGGGAATTCAGGAAACGAATATAATCGCGATTAAAAGTGAGGTAACAATTTTCAAGCCAATAAGTTAAGCAGCCTGATCATGTGTAGAATTCACGTGTAGCACACAGTTCGCATACAACACGAAAACAAACTCACGTGGAGATGTCGGTGTGGTTCGCCTCCTCGGTCTTCCACTTCGTCTGTGTCTCTTTCCATGCTTGTCAGTGTAGTAGGAGGTGGTGTCGGTCTCCTCGGTTGTCATGCTGGTCGACTCGGTGCCTGTCACACAGGAAGAGGAAGAAGACATTGCATCAGTGTGACAACGTGTCCCGTGACTATTGTCACTCTACTCAACAATATCACACACTCACGACTTCAAATCACCCACATCATAACACAACAAATCATCACATTGATACACGCAACACAACATTCAGTTGAATGTGGCGTCATTCAACTCACTGCCAATAGATAGTGATGCCTTACGCTCAGTGTGCTGTTAGTCCTTCTGGTCGATCAATGCTGCTTAGATATTTTGTGCGATTCATATTTGCTGTCTGAACAGATAAGAGTATGTGAATGGAATGATGTATGTGAACGTACATGAGATGCATAAATTAGTGTGAATATGTGTGAGGATGTGTGGAGAGTGGTATAGGAATTGTTATGTGTGTGACTCACGTTTCACTGAACCGGTGACTGGTGTCGAGCTGGTTGGTGTGTCTGATGGTGTTGTACGAGGTCGAGGTCGTCTTCTCCTCTTACCAAACTTGTCAATGTAGTAGATGTAGAGATCGTCGTCGTCCGGTGTTGTGCTGGAAGGCGATTGTGTGTCTGGTGTCGCTCCGGGTTCTGTAAACGGAAGAGAATGAAACAGATAGACGTGATAGTAATTTGTGTGTTGTCGGGTGTTGTCGGAGGCTGTGACAATGACAGTTGCAGTGGGACATGTGCATGTGGTTGATGAGTTGGTCTGTGTGCGAGACGAGTGGTTCACGTGTGTGCAGTTGTGTGCAGTTGTGTGCAGTGTTCAGTTGTGATGATCGAGTGTGTATATGTGTGGATGAGATGGTGGAGCATTGTGTTTGTGTTTGTGGGTGGGATATATTTTGAGGGTCGTCGGCACAAGTATTGTAAAAGATCTGTCAGTTGTTTAACAATATGAGTGTGAGTGATATTCACATGAATTGCATTGGAATACAATGCTTTGATTGGGCTGGTCTGTGCATTCAGTACTGAGTGAAGGGAATTCAGGAAACGAATATAATCGCGATTAAAAGTGAGGTAACAATTTTCAAGCCAATAAGTTAAGCAGCCTGATCATGTGTAGAATTCACGTGTAGCACACAGTTCGCATACAACACGAAAACAAACTCACCTGAAGATGTCGGTGTGGTTCGCCTCCTCGGTCTTCCACTTCGTCTGTGTCTCTTTCCATGCTTGTCAGTGTAGTAGGAGGTGGTGTCGGTCTCCTCGGTTGTCATGCTGGTCGACTCGGTGCCTGTCACACAGGAAGAGGAAGAAGACATTGCATCAGTGTGACAACGTGTCCCGTGACTATTGTCACTCTACTCAACAATATCACACACTCACGACTTCAAATCACCCACATCATAACACAACAAATCATCACATTGATACACGCAACACAACATTCAATTGAATCTGGCATCAATCAACTCACTCACAATCGAACCTTATGCCACATCAACACAAACATTTGATCAAAATATAAACGACTACCACAAATTTACATGTAAACATTTCAAATACTATTTCACAAAGTAAAAGCCAACCAATTGACTTTCAATTTCGCCTATATCTCAGACAAAAACAAACAATTATCACAATAAGAAATAGGCAAATTACACTATAAATTACACACCACCATTTGTCACACCAATACTCCTTCCAAAATCAACACTCATTCTACTCATGCTTACATCCACACTCAAATCACTGTCATCACCGTGATCACCATCACCGTCATCATGATCAATTGTCATTCGGTCAATTATATGAATGATATGAATCACATCATGAGAACAGTTGCACCTGATCTACAGCAATCGCAACAATCGACACACTGACATTCGTCGAAACAAATGCACACAGTGTGAGTGGACTGAGGAGAATGTGACTTACCCGATGGTGCGACTGTGGTATGTCGCCTCCTCCTACGTCGGTGTCGAGCCACCACTCTTCCGAATTTGTCCGTCACGTTCACGTACTCCTCTCCAGGTGTTGTCGTTTCGCCTGTAAGAGAGAAGAGGAAACTGTGTCAATCTCAGTCTGTGTGACAGTCTGTGTGTCAGTCACTCGGTGTCAACCTCACTGTGTGTCCCACCATCCGTCAGTATGTGTGCAGTTGTCAATGTCTCACAGATTGCTTCTATGCTCCAGTGTCCATGTGTCTCAGTGTTCATGTCAGTCTGTGTAGATGTCAGTGTCGAGCAACATGTACACGCGTCACATGTCATTCTCTTCATCACTGTTTCACTGTGAACCACTCATTGTGAAGATGTCCACAACTACCACCACACTTACAAATACTTCTACTAACAATAATAACACACATTTCACTACGACCACTCATTCGACTTCTTCTTTAACCACCTCCACTACTCACACCAACACAACCACTTATCACAATACGAACAACGCAAATTTCACTTTACAATTCACACCACACCATTTGTCACACCAATACTCCTTACAAAATCAACACTCATTCTACTCATGCTTACATCCACACTCAAATCACTGTCATCACCGTGATCACCATCACCGTCATCATGATCAATTGTCATTCGGTCAATTATATGAATGATATGAATCACATCATGAGAACAGTTGCACCTGATCTACAGCAATCGCAACAATCGACACACTGACATTCGTCGAAACAAATGCACACAGTGTGAGTGGACTGAGGAGAATGTGACTTACCCGATGGTGCGACTGTGGTATGTCGCCTCCTCCTACGTCGGTGTCGAGCCACCACTCTTCCGAATTTGTCCGTCACGTTCACGTACTCCTCTCCAGGTGTTGTCGTTTCGCCTGTAAGAGAGAAGAGGAAACTGTGTCAATCTCAGTCTGTGTGACAGTCTGTGTGTCAGTCACTCGGTGTCAACCTCACTGTGTGTCCCACCATCCGTCAGTATGTGTGCAGTTGTCAATGTCTCACAGATTGCTTCTATGCTCCAGTGTCCATGTGTCTCAGTGTTCATGTCAGTCTGTGTAGATGTCAGTGTCGAGCAACATGTACATGCGTCACATGTCATTCTCTTCATCACTGTTTCACTGTGAACCACTCATTGTGAAGATGTCCACAACTACCACCACACTTACAAATACTTCTACTAACAATAATAACACACATTTCACTACGACCACTCATTCGACTTCTTCTTTAACCACCTCCACTACTCACACCAACACAACCACTTATCACAATACGAACAACGCAAATTTCACTTTACAATTCACACCACACCATTTGTCACACCAATACTCCTTCCAAAATCAACACTCATTCTACTCATGCTTACATCCACACTCAAATCACTGTCATCACCGTGATCACCATCACCGTCATCATGATCAATTGTCATTCGGTCAATTATATGAATGATATGAATCACATCATGAGAACAGTTGCACCTGATCTACAGCAATCGCAACAATCGACACACTGACATTCGTCGAAACAAATGCACACAGTGTGAGTGGACTGAGGAGAATGTGACTTACCCGATGGTGCGACTGTGGTATGTCGCCTCCTCCTACGTCGGTGTCGAGCCACCACTCTTCCGAATTTGTCCGTCACGTTCACGTACTCCTCTCCAGGTGTTGTCGTTTCGCCTGTAAGAGAGAAGAGGAAACTGTGTCAATCTCAGTCTGTGTGACAGTCTGTGTGTCAGTCACTCGGTGTCAACCTCACTGTGTGTCCCACCATCCGTCAGTATGTGTGCAGTTGTCAATGTCTCACAGATTGCTTCTATGCTCCAGTGTCCATGTGTCTCAGTGTTCATGTCAGTCTGTGTAGATGTCAGTGTCGAGCAACATGTACACGCGTCACATGTCATTCTCTTCATCACTGTTTCACTGTGAACCACTCATTGTGAAGATGTCCACAACTACCACCACACTTACAAATACTTCTACTAACAATAATAACACACATTTCACTACGACCACTCATTCGACTTCTTCTTTAACCACCTCCACTACTCACACCAACACAACCACTTATCACAATACGAACAACGCAAATTTCACTTTACAATTCACACCACACCATTTGTCACACCAATACTCCTTACAAAATCAACACTCATTCTACTCATGCTTACATCCACACTCAAATCACTGTCATCACCGTGATCACCATCACCGTCATCATGATCAATTGTCATTCGGTCAATTATATGAATGATATGAATCACATCATGAGAACAGTTGCACCTGATCTACAGCAATCGCAACAATCGACACACTGACATTCGTCGAAACAAATGCACACAGTGTGAGTGGACTGAGGAGAATGTGACTTACCCGATGGTGCGACTGTGGTATGTCGCCTCCTCCTACGTCGGTGTCGAGCCACCACTCTTCCGAATTTGTCCGTCACGTTCACGTACTCCTCTCCAGGTGTTGTCGTTTCGCCTGTAAGAGAGAAGAGGAAACTGTGTCAATCTCAGTCTGTGTGACAGTCTGTGTGTCAGTCACTCGGTGTCAACCTCACTGTGTGTCCCACCATCCGTCAGTATGTGTGCAGTTGTCAATGTCTCACAGATTGCTTCTATGCTCCAGTGTCCATGTGTCTCAGTGTTCATGTCAGTCTGTGTAGATGTCAGTGTCGAGCAACATGTACATGCGTCACATGTCATTCTCTTCATCACTGTTTCACTGTGAACCACTCATTGTGAAGATGTCCACAACTACCACCACACTTACAAATACTTCTACTAACAATAATAACACACATTTCACTACGACCACTCATTCGACTTCTTCTTTAACCACCTCCACTACTCACACCAACACAACCACTTATCACAATACGAACAACGCAAATTTCACTTTACAATTCACACCACACCATTTGTCACACCAATACTCCTTACAAAATCAACACTCATTCTACTCATGCTTACATCCACACTCAAATCACTGTCATCACCGTGATCACCATCACCGTCATCATGATCAATTGTCATTCGGTCAATTATATGAATGATATGAATCACATCATGAGAACAGTTGCACCTGATCTACAGCAATCGCAACAATCGACACACTGACATTCGTCGAAACAAATGCACACAGTGTGAGTGGACTGAGGAGAATGTGACTTACCCGATGGTGCGACTGTGGTATGTCGCCTCCTCCTACGTCGGTGTCGAGCCACCACTCTTCCGAATTTGTCCGTCACGTTCACGTACTCCTCTCCAGGTGTTGTCGTTTCGCCTGTAAGAGAGAAGAGGAAACTGTGTCAATCTCAGTCTGTGTGACAGTCTGTGTGTCAGTCACTCGGTGTCAACCTCACTGTGTGTCCCACCATCCGTCAGTATGTGTGCAGTTGTCAATGTCTCACAGATTGCTTCTATGCTCCAGTGTCCATGTGTCTCAGTGTTCATGTCAGTCTGTGTAGATGTCAGTGTCGAGCAACATGTACATGCGTCACATGTCATTCTCTTCATCACTGTTTCACTGTGAACCACTCATTGTGAAGATGTCCACAACTACCACCACACTTACAAATACTTCTACTAACAATAATAACACACATTTCACTACGACCACTCATTCGACTTCTTCTTTAACCACCTCCACTACTCACACCAACACAACCACTTATCACAATACGAACAACGCAAATTTCACTTTACAATTCACACCACACCATTTGTCACACCAATACTCCTTACAAAATCAACACTCATTCTACTCATGCTTACATCCACACTCAAATCACTGTCATCACCGTGATCACCATCACCGTCATCATGATCAATTGTCATTCGGTCAATTATATGAATGATATGAATCACATCATGAGAACAGTTGCACCTGATCTACAGCAATCGCAACAATCGACACACTGACATTCGTCGAAACAAATGCACACAGTGTGAGTGGACTGAGGAGAATGTGACTTACCCGATGGTGCGACTGTGGTATGTCGCCTCCTCCTACGTCGGTGTCGAGCCACCACTCTTCCGAATTTGTCCGTCACGTTCACGTACTCCTCTCCAGGTGTTGTCGTTTCGCCTGTAAGAGAGAAGAGGAAACTGTGTCAATCTCAGTCTGTGTGACAGTCTGTGTGTCAGTCACTCGGTGTCAACCTCACTGTGTGTCCCACCATCCGTCAGTATGTGTGCAGTTGTCAATGTCTCACAGATTGCTTCTATGCTCCAGTGTCCATGTGTCTCAGTGTTCATGTCAGTCTGTGTAGATGTCAGTGTCGAGCAACATGTACATGCGTCACATGTCATTCTCTTCATCACTGTTTCACTGTGAACCACTCATTGTGAAGATGTCCACAACTACCACCACACTTACAAATACTTCTACTAACAATAATAACACACATTTCACTACGACCACTCATTCGACTTCTTCTTTAACCACCTCCACTACTCACACCAACACAACCACTTATCACAATACGAACAACGCAAATTTCACTTTACAATTCACACCACACCATTTGTCACACCAATACTCCTTACAAAATCAACACTCATTCTACTCATGCTTACATCCACACTCAAATCACTGTCATCACCGTGATCACCATCACCGTCATCATGATCAATTGTCATTCGGTCAATTATATGAATGATATGAATCACATCATGAGAACAGTTGCACCTGATCTACAGCAATCGCAACAATCGACACACTGACATTCGTCGAAACAAATGCACACAGTGTGAGTGGACTGAGGAGAATGTGACTTACCCGATGGTGCGACTGTGGTATGTCGCCTCCTCCTACG